AAGGGTCGTTCGACCCCCAAAGGGGTCGTGACCCACAGGTTGAGAACCGCTGCTCTATATAGCCTAATTGGCAAAGTGAGTCTTTAAAATTTTTTTTAAATTAAATTTTTTGGGGGTAACATTGGTATATATACCTCTATGTTCATTGCAGCATTATTCACAATAGCCAAGACCTGGAAACAAACAGTCCTTGAAGGATGATAGGATAAAGAACATCATATATATATATATATATATATATATATATATATATATATATATATAGTGGAATACCACTCAGCCATAAAAAATATTGCCATTTGTGACAACCTGGATGGATCTTGAGAGTACCATACTAAGTTAAATAAGTCAGATGGAAAAGGACAAGAACCATATGATTTCACTCATATATGGGGTATAAAACAAAAAGCAACAAATAAACAAACAAACAAGCAAAGTCAGTTTTTAATGTTGATAAAAGCGAACTGGCACTTTAAAAAAAATTGACCAGGAAGTTGGGAGGTCTATGGCTGGAGCTGGGCTTCCTGTTACTCTCTAGTCCCGACTTCCTATTAAACTTTATGGTTCTAACTTCCTGTGGCAGATGTATATAAGGGAGCCATCTTGAGAGATAGCTCTTTTTTGCACATGGACAGCCTTCTGGAAGGTTTGTGTTCCCATACTGCTGTGGTGGTTTTGTTTTCTTTCCCCGAATAAACACCCTTTCTGATGAACTATCTAAAAGATTATTTTTGCTCAATTAACAATGTTAAATTAACCATCCAAACCAGACTTACTTTCTGTCAAAAGAAGTCTGATTTCGATTTTCCAATTTGAATAGCTATGTTAATTTGCATCCCGGTAATAATCATCTTACTTCTGAATTCATGTAATTCAAGTACCCAAACTCATGTAACTTACATAATTTGATACCGTTTCCACAACATCACTTTAAAAGATGTAAGTGTATTGCCTTGGGCTTAATAATATTTATTTATCGTGTGGTAGGTCATATTATTTGCACACAATTATTAATTCCCTCCCCACCTTTACAGCCCTTCCCCATAGGGTACATTTCCTCACCCCATGGACTTTGCACTTGGTCATGGGACTTGTTTTGGCTAGTAGAAGATAAGCATTGTACATATGGTATGCTGTACCTTACCAGAAGCTTTAGAGGTGCTGTAAGGTTCACCAGCCCTCTTGTTCCTGCCCTCCAGCAGGAGAACAGCATGTCCTGAAGATGTCTGCTTCCTCAGTCTGGGTCTCAGAATGAGAGAGCATGTGAAGCAGAACCACAGTCCAGAATGGGAAGAGTCTGGAGCTGCCCAGTCTACCCACAGCCAGGAGCAGAGTTGCAAAACCACAGACACCCAGCTGACTTGCAGCTGGGAGTAAATATTTGTTGTTGCAAGTCTAACCTAGTGAAAGCTGACCAGTGCTCTCTTTGAATGGCAACATCCAATACTCTGAGCAAATCAGGCCCTGACTTGTTTAGTAACCCAGCCTTGTTTACAAATAAAACTGTTCCCAAATTAAAGTGTGGAAACAAATGACGCCAGTCCTGTGACCAATCATTAGAGCAGACCTATCCATAGAAACACTTAGTACCCTGCCCAAATACAAACAAAAAGATTCAAAAGTACCCAAAGTCGAAGAAATTTATTCATCAGTTGCATTCCTAAGCATGCCTTATTCATATCACAAACTCAGCAATAATACCACTTTTTTTTGCTACATCAGCCATAATATATGAACTGGCAGGGGCTGGATTTATCAGTATAAAGTATATTTTTTATTTACTACAATTTAAAAATCATTTGTAATTAGAGCATCGTAAGGAGTTGTAAAAATTGTACAGAGAGCTCCTATATACCAATTCTCCAGATTGTCCCAATACAACATTCCACATAACTGTAGAGCATTATTAAAAACTGGAAATTGACATTGGTACAATACTACCAACTCAACTACAGGCTTTATTTGGATTTAATGATTTTTACATGCACATGTGTGTGTGTATGTGTGTCTCTCTGTGTGTAATTCTATGGAATGTTATCACATGTGTAGATTAGTGTCTCCATCACCACAATTATGATATAAAAATGTTCACTTTTTTATAGTCACATTCTCCCCCAACCCTAATCCTTGGCAATCACTGGTCTCTTCTGCCTCCTTCTAATTGTTTCACTTGCAAAATGTTATGTAAATAGAATAATACCATATGTAACCTTTTCAGATTGGCTTTTTTCACTCAGTATAATGCCTTTGGGATCCATCCAAGTATGTTCTTTTTTATTGCTGAGTAGTATTCTCTATGGATGGACTATATAGTCTGTTTATCTACTCACGTGTTGAAGGACATGTGGATTGTTTCTAGCTTGGGGCTGTTATAATCAAATTGCCATGAACATTCACATACAGGTTTTTGTGTGAATATGTTTTCATTTCTCTAGGATAAATACCCAGGAGTATGATGATGGGCTGTATGGAAAATGTATGTTTAACTTTACAAGAAACTGTCAAACTGTTTTTCAGAGTGTCTGTACTATTTTCTAGTCCCATCACCAATGTATAAGAGATCTATCTAGCTGCTACACAGCCTCATCAGTGCTTGGTCAATATTTTTTATTTTAGCCATTCTAGTAGGTGTGCATATGCATATATACTGCAATTTATGACAAATTTTGCTGAACAATATCTTCCCCACTTCATTCCCTCTATGATGTCCAGTGGTATCTACTAGGAAATAAATTTAATTGAAGAAGTGAACTTGACATTCAGCATCTAGTTAGCATCAACGGTATAAGAGCTATTAATATTTTTAAGCATAATCTATGATTTCTTAGTCTTTGCACTATTTTATATGAGTTTTCCAAAGTTGACTTTGATGATCACATGAAAATGTTAAGCTTATTTAACTTACTAGTATTCTCATAGAGATTAATTGGTGTAAGTAATCTTGAGAAAGGAGAACAAAGATGGAGGCATCACATTTCCTGACTTGAAACATATTACAAAGCTATAGTAATCAAAGCAGTATGATATTGGTATAAAAACAGACACATAGATCGATGGAACAGAACAGAGAGCCCAGAAATAAACCCATATATGTATGGTCAATTAATATACAACAAAAGAGGAAAGAATACACAATAAGGAAAGGGCAGTTTCTTCAATAAATGGTGTTGGGAAAACTAGACAGTCACATGCAAAAGAATGAAACGGGACCACTATCTTATGCCATACACAAAACTTAACTCAAAATGGATTAAAGGCTTGAATGTAACCAGAACCCATAAAACTAGAAGAAAACATAGGTGGTAAGCTCCTTGACATTGATCTTAGCAATCATTTTTTGGACCTGTTTCCAAAGGCAAGGGCAACAAAAGCAAAAATAAATCGGACTACCTCAAAAAAGCTTCTGCACCGCAAAAGAAACCCATCAGCAAGTGAAAAGGCAATCTACTGAATGGGAGGAGATATTTGAAAATCATATATCTGATAAAGGGTTAATATCCAAAACATATAAAGAACTCATACAACACAATCATGACAAGAAAATATCCAATTAAAAAATGAGCAGAGGATCCGAATAGACATTTTACCAAAGAAGACATGCAGATGACCAATAGACATATGAAAAGATGGTCAACATCATTAANATCATGGTATGGTCACCTTAGTTGCTATCCATAGCATCACCTGACAATGTTGCAAATTTTGCTTTAAATAGCCATATGAATTCTAAAGAAATCATGTATCCATATACATTCTGACACTAACTACCGGAGTTAGATCAAATTTCACATGATAAAGGCACAGTCCCCCACAAGACTGACCTCACTTCAGTCACCAGCTGCAGGTTTAGGGATTCCTAAACCACCCACACTTCTAACTGGCTACAAATTCTGGGGTTCCCACTACCCTCTAAAAACACCAGCCACAAGCTTGGGGGTCCTCGGGTTATGCTCACTTCTGATAAGCTGGCCACACATTTGGGGGTTTCCACAACCCCTTCAGGTACAATAATTCACTGGTATAACTCACAAAACTCGGGAAAAGTGCTACACTTATCATTATAGTTTATCATAAAGGATACAAACCAGGCTCAGCCAAATGTAGATCCACAGGTTAAGGTCTGTCAGGCTCCCAAATGTGAAGCTTCCATGTCCTTATGGAAGTGCCACCTCTCAGCACACAGACGTATGATCGCCAACCAGAAAGTGTACCTGAGCCTCAGTGTCCAGTTTTTAATTGAAGATCCAAGTTTCCACCTGCTATTATTTCTCTTCAATCCAAAGCACTTAATATATTTTGTAACATAGGTCTTCTGGCAATTAATTCTTTTAGTTTTCTTTGATCTAATAGTGCCTTTACTTTGTCTCAATTCTTGAAGACTCTTTTCATTGCATATAGAATTCTGGGTTGACAGATTTTTTTTTTTTCTTTCAGAACACTGAAAATGTTGCCTGCCTTCCATAGTACCTGGTAAGTCCCTGGTCGTTTGAATTGAGAATCCCCTGTGTGTAATCTGTCATTTTTCTTGGGTTGCTGTCAAGATTTTCTCTTTCTCTTTGATTTTTAGCAATTGGATAATGATTTACCTAGGTATAATTTTCTTCATATTTATTCTGCTTGGGGTTTGCTGAGCTTTCTGTATTTTTAAATTTATGACTTTTGCCAGATTTGGGGAAATTTCAGTCATTTTTTGCAACTATTTTTTTGCCCCATTATTTCTCTCTTTTTCTACAGCCCTGATTAAATGTATATTAGACATTGATATTTCCCTACAAATCCCTGAGGTTCTGTTCTCCTTTTTTCATCTTTTTCTGTGTTCTTCAGATTGGATAATTTCTATTGATCTAGGTTCGAGTTCACTGACTCTTTGTCATCTATGTGCTGTTAATATTTAATTTCAGATATTGTATTTTTCAATTTTAGAATTTCTACTTGATTTATTTTTATAGTTTTTATTTATCTGCTGAGATTGCCTATCTGTTTATTCATGACAAACATTTTTTTATGTCATCAAGCATAATTATAATAACCTTTAAAATTTTTTTCTACTGGGCCGGCCAAGTGGCGTGATGGTTAAGAACTGGCTTGGGATGCCAGAGGGCCCCGGTTCGGATCCCACATATGACAGCAACTTGTCTGTTCCCCTTCTCCCAATTCCCCAGCACTGTTCCCATCCCCCCAATTCCCCAATAAAAATCTTAAAAAAAAATTTTTTTTCTACTAATTACAACATACAGTCATCTTAGAGTTGGGCTCTATTGATTTGTTTTTGTTTTTGTTTGTTTGTTTATTTTAGAATGGGTCCCATTTAACTTATTGGATGCAAATACAGACTCAGTTTGGATTTTTATCTATAGCTACGTAGGTTGTTTAAATCTGCCTCCTGTATGTGCAATTCAGGGATTGTCCAGGGATTTGGGAAGAGTTTATATGCAGAATTGAAGGCTCCCTCTCTATGGCACTGATTCTTTTCTGAGATTTACCCATCACTTTCCAGCTGTTGGTTGTAATTAGAGCAAAGGGGAAAATTTGAATCCTCACTCAGCCCAGAGGAATCGGTTTCAGGTTTGCAGCTAGTCAAGGCCATTATTACTATTTCATGACACAAAACTTTGGACCTAGCATCAATTTGGAAAAGGGATCAAAGCTCACATTGTAATTCAGACATCATTTATATACAAAGTGATCGAAAGATACTTGTACTTGCCTAACTTAAAAACACACAGCACAGCGTTTCCATCCCTGTGCTGCTTTCTCTCAATCTTTAACTACTCCACTCCCCCATAAAATATACCATGTTTTTACCATAATATGATAACCATTTCTGTATCCATACCCAGCTAAAATAATAAAACATTTGAGATACAGGTGAAGCTCTCTCTCTAATTGCAGATCCCCCCCCCACCAGGTTAAAACTAGACTAAATTTGGTGTTTACTTATATTGATATTCTTGACACTTTTACTATTAATACTTTCATTTGTATAAAAATTTGGCATGAAAATACCCCAATTCATTTATTCATACTCCCATTATTGGATGTTTCCAATTTTTTGCTCTTGTAAACACTATTACCATAACTTTCTTTTTATATGTCTCCTTGTACATACATGCAAAAGAAGATTTTTTTGGGGGGGGGCAGTGGTCTTTGAACTTCTTGGCTCATATGCTCCCTAAGATAATTTTGGAAAAATCAGGTATCTCTTTCCACATTTTTAAGTTGGCATCTAAAATTTTTTATCGTAAATTTAATTATTATTTTAACCATATGAAAGCCTTATTTGTAGGTTGAAAATGGTTCAATAGTAATAATTTCATATGGTTCAAATTAATAGTTGCAAAGAATGTCATGTCTGATTATTATAAATATCATTTAAAAATAAAACTATTACTTCATGTTTTAAGATGCATCCAATGTATCATGATACTTGATACTTAAAAAAATACTCAAATAAACTCTTCCTTAACAGACCAAAATTTTACGTACTTATTGTCCCCATATATCTTATATTTCTATTCCATTAGCTCATAAAATCTCTCTTAACATGTTTTTTATTGAAGTCTTCTATTGCTCTTCCAATAATATTTCTCTGCAATAAAAATCCGTGTATAAATTGAAATACTCATGTTTTAAAGTTTTTTTATAACAGACTCTAAAGTTAAAGTTATCTTCTGTTTTGATTATGACGATTATTAGTATACATTTGACCAAAGCAACATAAACGTAACATAGATTTTGATAATTATAATACATAAAAAGTAAAATTTGATTGGAAACGCAACACAATAACTTGATGGGATTTTTTATTTCAACTAGCCAAGGATGAATGTTATTTATATGCCTGGTTAAAGCAGGATTCAACATCGATTCTATTCTTATTTTCTGTTACAGATGTGAGCTCTGAGCAACTTTGTTCATATGAATGAACAGATAGAAGTAGAAAAATTTTAAAGGTCAGAGTTTCTTAAATCTACAAACTTTTCCCAAGTTACACCAAATTCACCGAAAATCATGTAATGATTTATCATAGAAAATTGTGTTTGATGCTGTATCAGTTGACAGCTTGATGGGGTTCTCACTCAATTTTGTTGACATCAAAGAATTGGAAATCACCTAATTTGGAAAAACAATTGTTGCTGAGACTTTTAGGGTTCTTTTTTGGTTCAACTTTCAAGAAGCACACCAAACAGTCTATTAGGATTTTCAAATGATAATTAAATATATCTTTCATGTAGAGACATTGTTAAAGACCCAATATAATCAAAAAGATTTGGGAAAATGAAAATATTATTAATTTCAATACATCTTACAATTTCAATTCATCTGATAGAATAGAAAATTATTTTCTGTTAATCATATTCTTTAAACTAAACTTGTGTCAAAATGTTTGAGCTGCAAATTTAGCTCATTTGGTTTATGGGAAGCATCCTCTATATCAGCAGTTCTCAACCTTTCACAGGGGTTGCCTAAGACCATCGGAAAACATATTTTCGATGGTCTTAGGAACCAAGACACCGCTCCTCTATCCGTCTCCAGGCCCACATGCAGATACGCCCACATACGAGTACCCGGCGACCCCTGTGCAAGGGTCGTTCGACCCCCAAAGGGGTCGTGACCCACAGGTTGAGAACCGCTGCTCTATATAGCCTAATTGGCAAAGTGAGTCTTTAAAATTTTTTTTAAATTAAATTTNGGGGCCACAGTACTCACACTGTCTCTCCCGAGCATTTTATGCCTGGACCCTTTCTCCTCATTTCAGAAACAGCCATCTCCTGTCTGTCCCTCTCACTAGGCAGCCTCAGGTAGCTGCTAGAAAAGCAATCCCTTACCAGTTCTTGCACACTTGGGAGGCTCCCTCCATGTTCTGGTCTCCGGAGTCCTCTTGTTGAGTTTCAGTTCTTGCAGAAACAAAACTGAAAGTGTTTCAGTGGCCCAGCCCACAGCTCCAGGGAGGGAGGGGGGTGTCAGAATTCTCAGCCGAGGGAGGCTCAAAGGTTCCTGTGGCTGAACAGGCCCAGGAAGCCCCTCTGTAATGTGGCTAGCCCAGCCTACCCCTGCTCCCTCCCTCGGCCTGTGCTGTTACCCCTGTGGCTGTCACCAGCTGTTTCTATGACCCAAGGGTGGGCGCCAGAGGCCAGGCCTCCCCTGGGCAGCGGCCCCGCCCCTCTCCCAGGCTGGCTTCACGGTACCTGGGTCTCTCCATGCCCTTCCACGACACACTGACCTCCCCCTCTCTCCTGCTCTTGTCGCTGGTCTTGCCTCTGCAGCAAAGAGATGGCTTGCAGTGTTAAACTGGAATGCTGCTCCCTGAGAGCAGCTCCTGGACTTCCTGCGCCTTACTCTAATTGTAGTTGGTGATGACTTTGAAAACAGGGTCCTGGAGGAAGTGTCCTGAGACTGCAGGCTTTGGGCCACATCACTTGGCAGCTCTGTGACTGACGAGAGCTTCCTGTCTCCCTGAGTGTCTCTTTGTTGTAAATAATTAGAGCAAACACGACTGTCACACTAACGAGGTGATAGGCAAGTGAGGGAGTTTCTATTTTCATTTTCGTCATCCCGTCTTCAGATAAAGAAGCCAAGTCACTGAGGCATGATGTAACTTGCACACTGCACAGCCAGTAGGCAGCAGAATTAGGCTTTGCACCAGGCAAAGCAGCCCTCCGTTTGTCTCTCCTGGAATGGCCACAGGGTTGGGAGATTGGAGTTCAAGAGTGTAATTAACTGACAGCTGAGTCACCTTAGCCTTTTGGGCTTTTTTTCCCCCTCAGTGTTTTGGACTCTAGGAGTCCAGGGGGTACTTTAGGAGACCAGGTGCTCCAGGAAATTGTGTGCAAAATTGCTTTCATGTGGGTCAGTGCCTGTTCCTGAGGAAGAGCCGATGTTTTTAGCAAACGTTCAAAAGAAGTCCACGACCCAGACAGTTATAAATGACGGGACTCATTGACTTGAAGATCTGAGAGGCAAAGAAATCAAGTTCTGTGAAAAGCAACACATGTCCAAAATTATATATGCATCATTGACTCAAGTGAATTTAGAACATTTGTTTGACTGCTTGGGTTCTTTTCACAGGGAGAAGCAGGCAGGGCACAACTAGTTAGATAAATAAAAATGGTAAAACAGCGTACCTAATTGTTCAGTCAACTCCATTAGAAACATTTGGATATTATATACTTTATATTGAAAAATTGTAAGCGGATTTCATGTGTGTTTTTATTTCCTGGAATTTTGTTCATTAAAAAAAAATCAAGCCTATCTTTAATTAGCTACAACATTCACCTTTATTGTTTATAAACATAATTAAGATATTAGTGTGTAAATAGAGAATGTTGATTGTGGTTTTGCACATTTGTCTGAGCATTTTGATTTATTTCAACTTTAGTGAGCACACGGTATACAGAACTTTATAATAGCTGGTAAATACATAACAGCTTTTCACTAATAAATGAAGAAGTTCCTGCTAATGTTCAGAATGTCAGAAATCGAAAAGGGATCACTGAGGCAAGGATCGGTAATACTTAAAGCGTTTAGCATGGGGCCTGGCAGTTTATTGGGGCTTTTGGTGCTGGGGTGGGAGGACAGTAGCTTCCAAACTCGTTTACACATTGGACTTGCTGGGGGGAACTTCCAGAAAACCACTGATGCCTGCCCAACCCCAGAGAGTGTGAGTTCACTGGCCTGGCGTGTGCCTGGGACTTTGGGGTTTTTGAAAGGTCCTAGGTGATTCTAATGTGCAGGGAAGTTGGGAGCCACTGGTGTAGGAGGAAAGGCTGGCTCTGAGTTCCAAGGCCAGCACTGTAACTCCAGCCTTGGCTCTTGGCTTTCCCATCTGAAGAATAAGAGGATGGAGATAGATGAGCTTCATTGAAGATTCTGGAAGTGGAGATGTGCAGTGTGGGGAAAGACGCTTGGTGTTCATGGAAGAAAGACATTTAGGGCTGGGTTGCGGCAGAGGGGAGAGCTGGGGTCAGTGGGTGGAAGTGCCAGGAAACCCTGAGCTTCCTCCTGGTCACTACCGTGTCCCTGGATGAACAGGTCAGGGATGGAGGGGATCCGGCCCCAGGAGTAAGGCTGGCAGGGTCTAGGATTCGGTGAGAACCCAGTTTTCAGGTCCCGCTATGGGTGAGCTCGAAAGAAAGCCCACCCAAGCCAAGGTTCAGGCAAGCTCTTCATGTGGGCCAGCCCAGGGTAGCACACAGTTAGAGAAGGGGTGGTGGTCTGCTGGATGGGGTGCTCTGGGGATGTGGGAACAGGATGTGGAGGCTGCTTACATACCCCTCCCTACTCTGCCCACTCAATGGACCTACCCTAGTGTGTATTCCCCCTGGGGTCCTCAGAACTTTCCCAGACCCCAGAAACAGCTGTGCTAACAGAAGGGTTGCAAACCATGTACTGNAAGCCAGAATGGGGAAACAAAGAAACACATCCCAAATAAAAGAACAGAAGAAACCTCCTGAATCAGTGGAACTAGAGGAAATAGAGGTAACCAACCTATTGGAGACAGAGTTCAGAACACTGATTGTTAGAATTTTCAAGGAAATTAATGAGAATATAAAGAGGGATAGAGAAATCATGAAAAACAACCAGCTAGAACTAAAAAATACAATTACTAAAATAAATAACAAACTTGATGGAATTACCAGCAGATTAGATGAAGCAGAGGATCAAATCAGTGACTTAGAAGACAAGACAGCAGAGAACACCCAAGCAGAACAACAAAAAGAAAAAAGAATAAGAAACATTGAAAATAGTTTAAGAGAGCTGGGCCACAACATAAAGCGCAACAACATGCGCATCTTAGGAATACCAGAAGGAGAAGAGAGGGAGCAAGGGATCGAGAACATATTTGAAGTAATATCTGAAAACTTCCCAAACCTGGCAAAGGAAAGTGACATACAAGCACAGTAAGTGCAGAGAGTTCCAACCAAGATGATCCCAAACAGGCCCACACCAAGACACATTATAGTGAAAATGGCAAGGGTTAAAGACAAAGACAGAATCCTAGAAGCAGCAAGGGACTGGCAGCAAGTTACTTACAAGGGCACCCCCATAAGAACAGCAGCTGGCTTTTCTACAGAAACTCTGCAGGCCAGAAGGGAGTGGCAGGAGGTTTCCAAAGCGATGACAATCAAAGGCCTACAACCTACATTGCTTTACCCAGCAAGGCTATCATTTAAAATTGGAGAGATAAAGAGCTTCCCAGAAAAGAATAAGCTAAAGGAATTCATTACCACCAAGCCAGCATTGCAGGAAATGTTAAAAGGGCTTCTTTCAGCAGAAGAAAAAAACAACCTAACTAATGAAGACCAGAATCACAAGTTCATTGGTGATTTTGACTAGCTGCCAGTGCGGCCTGGCAAAGTTTTACTTAGCCTTGAAGTCGCAGTTCAAATGCCACCGCCCCCATGAAGCCTTCCTTCCCCATTTGCTCTTGTGACTCACAGTGTTTTGCATATAATTGAAAAAGCAAGTATTTACTGATTGCTTACTATATGCCGGGTCATTGTCTTAAGCACTCTCTGAATGTTAACTTACATAATCTTCAAAGCAACTTTTTGAAATCATATTTGGTGTTATCTCCATTTATGAAAAAAATAAGCTCAGAGAGGGCAATTTATCTAAGGCACACAGACAGGGTGAGATAGGGTCAAGCAGTCTGGCTCTATGTCATACTCCCTTTCAAGTAGTTGTATTATTGTACTGAAATGGTGTCCATGCATTCATTCATATATGCCAGAGAAAAAATTTTGCGTGCACACACTGGACCAGGCACTGTAAAAGGTGCTGGTTGAACATGTGTTGAATAAAGGACATTAAATAACAATTACACCAAAAATAGGTAGGTACAAATAGTGCTGAGTGCCCTGGGATGGGGGAAGGGAACCCAGGGTTAGACGAATGAGAATTACAGAGGGTGAGGGCACAAGGCAGGCAGATGCAGGAAGGACCTGGGGGAATATGTGTCCTTAGGTGGAGGTCACAGGAAGAGTCATGAACTTGATTTCGGATGTGTTGAGTTTTGGGGCCTGAGGCACAGCCAGGCTGGAAAAGGTCGGAAATTTGGAGATCTGGGACTCCTGCACATAGGTGGGTTGAAGACAGAGGATGGTAATTACTAAGGGGCAGGCTGTGGTTAAAACTCAAGCAGGGTTAAGAATCCCCCAAAGAAAGCTGCAGAATGAGAAGACAAGCAGGCAGAGGAGGAGAAGGGAGAAAAGAGCAAAATGATAGAGGTGGCTGTGTCTGCATCCTTGTACCTCCAGCACCCAAAGCAGGGCTCAGCACAGAACTGGTGCTCAGTGCTTGTTGGCTGGAGGTCTGCCGAATGAATGAACGACCCTCTGTGTAGCCTTGGTTAAGTCCTTTTCTCGCTGGATCCCCGTTTCCCTCAGTAAAATGGCAGTAGCAGCTTGGTCAGGCGGGCAGCGGCTGCTGGGGCTCAGTCAGGCCCCAAGCGGGCTTCTGATGCCCACCAAAGTCATTGAGCGCGTCGGCGGGCTGCGCCGGTGTCCGCTGGAGGGCAGAAGGTGCTCAGACTGCGAAGGACAGTGGCCTCGCTTTCTCTGCGATTGCCGAAGAGCGCCCGGGAAGCGCTGGGTGGGAAGAGGCACGCGCGGGGGAGTCCTGTGCCCAAGGCATCACGGACGCGGCGGGGAAGCCAGGAGTGACCCGGGAATGGGGAGGCCCGCGCACAGCACGGAGGGTGCATGGCGTGGTCATCGCTCTGCTAGAGACCCCTCCCGGATGCGGGGGCAAGGGGAGGAAGTAATGAGGTGAAAAGGAGTCAGAGACTCGGGAGATTGATCCGAAAGAGCGAGAGGCCGGTGGGAACCCTCAGCTGGGACCCCTGTAGGGCCCAGGAAGGGCAGGTGCGGACGCAACAGGGGGGCCGCACGCCAAAGCTGACAGAATGAACGACGGATCACATCCCGCCTGGCAGGCCTGGGGCATGCCTCTGTCCAGGATAGCCAGGAAAGGATTGGAGAGTCAAAGGTGCCTGGGCTCCAGTCGCTCCTGAAGGGCCTGTCCGAAGCCCTGGAGTCCGCAGGCACCTCCTGCAACCGCCGGGTGGCAGAGTTGGGGGCAGGCGCGCCCCACCGACCCCGCCCAGGGGCCGCGGGGAGGCCCCACCGTGGGGGGGCGGAGTTGCCGCCGCCGCCCCCCCCCACACACACCCCGGGGACTGTGGCCCTTCTTAAGCCCGCGGAGCCTCTGGCTGCCCCTCACTCGCCTCTCCAGTCGGTCTCCCTCCCGCGCGATGGCCTCAGCACTGAGTTATGTCTCCAAGTTCAAGTCCTTCGCGATCTTGTTCGTCACCCCGCTACTGCTGCTGCCACTCATCATTCTGATGCCCGCCAAGGTCAGTTGCATCTCCCGGCAGCGCCGTGGACTCCAGGCGCCTGGTCCCAGCAGCCGGCACGGAACCCGGGAGCACTGAGTTGGAGTGCACAGACTCCCGGGTGGGCACAGCTCTCCTGGGGGCGCGCGCACTTGGGAGCTCCGGGTGCCAGATGGTAGGTGCCCTGAGAAGAATTCCAAGGGGCACGGAGACCCCAAGGCGCAGCGACCTTGGTGTTCACAGATCCCAGGGCGCAAGAACCGTCCCAACAAGCACAGAAACCTAGACGTTAGCTCAGATCTCGGGCCACACAGCACATCCATAGGCTCAGCCCGGGGCACAGAATCTCCCTAGAGTGCATAATCTCATTCCTTCCCCGTCTCACCCCCCCCCCCCCCCCCAATACTACCCATGCTGACAGACAGCCTGGGCGCTGGTCTTTCCCCTCTTCTCCCTCCTGTCTGCTCCCCTAGCGAATGGGGACTCCGCAGTTGTAGGTGGCTTCCGGAAGTTAACGACCTACAGAAAAAGATCCTAAGTGGATCCTGAGTGCTGTCTTTGCCACTCTCTGGCCCTTCTTTGAGCCTCAGTTTCCCTATCTATGATCCACATTTCTATTCATCTCTGAAGCCCTGGAAAGCCACAGCTGAGTCAAAATCCTGCTCCCGCTGAAATGCAGGTCAGGATTGGCCTGCTTCGCTGGCTGCCTGCTGTGGCTGTGGCAGGAGGCGGACATGTTCCCAGAGCTCACGCCTTGGGTGGCACCACCCAGGGTTGCAGGGAAGCGGAGTCCCATGCCCTGGCCTCCTAGTGCTTTGGGGAGGGAGGCAGAGAATGAATGGCCTTGGCCACAGGGTGGAGGCGGTGCTGGGAGCCCTGGCCCAGGCTGTGCTGGGCTGTGTGAAGCCTGTTTGGCAGAGGCCCGAGGGCTTTGAAGCCTTTTGTGGCTGCTGGCTGCTCCTTCCTCATTCCCTCTTTCAGCCCTTTCACTCTCCGCTCAGACAGGAAACCCCGGGCTTGCCCCCCACCTCCCCAGGTTTGGGAAACAGAAGAGCTCTTTAGGGCATACTCTGGGGGCCGTCCTGGAGGAGTGGGGTTGTATAGGAGTATCAGAAAGCCAACTCTGCAAGAGAACTGGCTTTCCTCTCTTCACTCATCCTTGTGATTTTAGCGAAGCCCCTGCGTTTTCTGGGCCTTGGTGTTCTCGTCTGTACAATGGGGCAAGGTGATTTGGTTCTGATACTTTATGGTTTTGGGCGTCCAAAGGATTTATGCTGGTTTCCAGTGTGGAGAAGGGGGAGGCTGAGAGGAACCTTTGGGTGGGCTGAGCACGGGCCCTGGATGGGCCAAGGACAGAGATCCAACTGCGGTGGCCCTTCAGTTGCCATACCAACTGTGAGCAGCCATGTTTCCTCTGTAGAAAGAGATTTGGGGCTGTTATTGTCCTTGGGAGGGAGCCAGGCAGGAGAGCTATGATTTTAGTTCTGCTGGGGTGGGAGTGATGTTCTCTGGAATAATTATAGTAGCTTGCCTGAACTTCCTGCTTTGGGGGAGTATGACCGAGACCCCACTTTTACCCTGTACCCATCCCCCACCCCCCACGCACACACAGGTGGCCCTGGGCTGGGACCCCCAACTCAGGGTGTATATACATGTCATTCACCTGCCCTGGGAGTGAGGATCAGGTGAGGGAAGAGACGACATCGGTGAAAGTCCTTCTAAAGGCTGCCTTCACGTGCTTTCCCTCTCACTGGGGCAGGTGACTGGGAGCCTGGACTCCTGTCTTGGTGTTTGCTCCCTTTGTGCCTCTGTTTAGTCACCTCTGAAGAGCTCCCTGCCCCTGCCCCCCACCCCCAAAGCCACATCATTGTGCCAGGACACCCGGAGATACTGGCATGGGGCAGAGCGGCCAGGAAGCCAGAGAGAGCTTGGCAGCCTGGCAAGCATGGTCCAAGTGGGGCAGTGACCCTGTGTGCATGCCACCCTCTGCCAGTGCCCTGCCCCCTCTCCTGCAGGCTTCCTTTTCTTCCTCTCCTCCACCCTGCTTTCTTCCTGGCTTCACCTTTGCTCCATTTTTTCTACCCTTTCTTTGAGTCCTTTTTAAAAAATAGCTTTTTAATAAGTGATATGTTTTTTTCTATCATTTATTTTATTCAGTGCTTTTAAAATCTTATTTTTAAAGTCTGTCAAGTATAAAGTAAAAGTGAAAATACTCTCAATTTCCATAATTTACTGATATTTTGATGGCCTTTCCAGAAATCAATTCTCCCCCCCCCCTCTCTCTCTCTCTTTCTCTCTCTCTCTCCACACATCCAAAGTATGTTCTCTTACCTACATTTTTTTTTCATTAAGCAACATGTCATGGACACCCTTACTTGTTAATAATTATACATGGTTTTATTCGGTTGTGCTTTTAACATGTATTTATTGAGGCCCGCTACGTGCTATGTATTGTGCTAGGTGCTGACTTTTCATTCCCACTGTCCACTTTTAACTCGGCTTTAAGTGCTTTTCCAGCTACATTCCAGCTTCACGGAAATGCTCTGAACTTTACCTACAGGGAGCCAGGCTCCTCTCTGCAGGTAGACTCTATCTCATTCTGCACAGCTACCACCTCCTCCTCAGACTTGTCTAACATCGTCTGTCCTATCCTGCTCTCTCCACTGACGCTGTGGGAGCATTCTAGGCGAGAAGGGTCAAGTTTGCTTCAGGGATGGGTATCTCCTGGGCCTCCTGATAGTAACATGGAGGTGGAGGGGGCAGTCAGCCTTGTGTCTTTTCTATCGGTTACATTTGGCACCTCCAGAAACTGTACTGTGAAAATTGGTTACATTTACCACCTGCTATTTCTAAGTTTAGATAATAAAAATTCATCGAGCACTTTATGTATGCCATACATTAAAAATAGGTATTCTTAAATCCTCAATTTATAGGCGAGGACATGAAACAAGCAGGGAGAGGGACCAGGGTTGGGAGTGAGAGGAGTGCTTTATCAATGACATTGTTGAGTGACTGCTGAAGGCCAGACAATTGCAGACAGTAGACACGGATCGGGTCTGCCTGGTGGCAGAGCCTGGGCTTCTTAACCACACTGTTGTCCTGCCTTGAGTCTGGTGGCTTCAATCAGCATTGATACCTGCAACCTCCCAAGCAGGAGATGTCTTGCAAAGCCTGGAGACATTTTTTGCTGTTACAACTGGAGAAAGTGCTACTGGCATCTAGTGGCATGGAGGCCAAGGATGCTGCTAAACATCCTACAATAGGACAACCATCCCCGCAAAACAAAGAATCACCCAACCGAAAATGTCCATAGTGTCGAGGCTGAGAAACCCTGTGTTAAACAGGAGGGAGGTGTCCAAGGTGCTCATGGGATGCTGAAGGAAGATTGATTTTTTTATGACTCATAACACAATCTAGACCAAGAATTGTCTAGACCAAGTCTAAGTTTTCATACAATGATTCATGCATATAATACATGCTCTTTGGGGGTGATGATAAGCAGCGATAGTGTACAGGTACGTCTTTACAGCAGTGTTGTTATAGCTCCTGCTATGCTGGGCCATTTCTATAATAGGCATTTACTGAACGTCTCCTGAGTGTCAGGCCTGTGCTGGGTGCCGAGGACAGAGTGAATCCACAAACACTGGTTCTGCCCTCAAGGTGCTCACTGTTTGTTCATGGTGGTGGGAAGGCAGTTAAGGAAACAAATGATGACCAGCCAGTGTGCAAATTGCTGGGGGTGGAGAGGAAGGCACAGAGACAGGGCACAGGCCCAGACTGTGGGGGAGGTGGGGACAGGTGCCCAAGGGGAAATGCTGAGCGGAACCATGAGGGGCGGTGTGTGTAAGAGCAGGAGCCTCAGTTACTGCCAGCGCTCCGGGGTAGCTGGAACTCGGGGTGTAAGTGGGCAAGGCTATGGGGTTGGAGGGGTCTGCAGGGCCTGCTCCATTGCAGAGGGTCTCCTAAGTCATGCTAAGGCATTTGGGTTTTGTCTTGAAAGCAAGAGAAGGCTTTGAAACAGGGAGTGATACGATCGGATTTACAAAAGAGCGAGAGGGAACAGCAGTGTGGCCTGATACAAGTAGAAAGATCAAATTAGATGATAGCTGCTGCCATCTAGGCAGGAGGAGATGCGGCCATGGTGGGGTGAAGGTGGGAAGGGAAAGAGGCCAGAGAATGAAGGGCTAGAAGAAGTGGGTCTTGGTGGCTGGTTTAATTGGCTGGGTTGGGATGAAGGAGAGTGCAGAGTCTGGGTGGTTAATAATGATTATAATAAAAATGCTGATGAAATATTAAACAACCTAGGGATGTGGGTATTACTATCCACATTTGAATAGACGATGAGACAGGGCAGCAGCAGCGTGCCGAGGCCTCAGGGCTGTCTCTTCAGTTTGTCAGGTGCGCCTACGTCATCATCCTCATGGCCATTTACTGGTGCACGGAAGTCATCCCTCTGGCTGTCACCTCCCTCATGCCTGCCTTGCTTTTCCCGCTCTTCAAGATTCTGGACTCCAAGCAGGTGAGCAGACCCAGGGGATCCTGGTGGCTTTCTTCTTCTCCCATTTGCTCATTCTCCAAGCCCCTCTCTGAGCTGCCTAGGCCCCAGGGGACCACATAAGCCCATTATGGATTCTTTTTGGCGTGGAGACATACCAGTTGACCCTCCATCCCCATGCCAAGCTGTCCCTGAAGTCAGCATCTGGTCTGCTTGCCTGTCTCTGGGGACTTGGGTGGCCCTGGGCCCAAGGAGGCAACCCTGACGGGGCCTCCATCCCACCCTCCAGGTATGTATCCAGTACATGAAGGACACTAACATGCTGTTCCTGGGTGGCCTCATCGTGGCCGTGGCTGTGGAGCGCTGGAATCTGCACAAGAGAATCGCCCTGCGCACGCTCCTCTGGGTGGGGGCCAAGCCTGCACAGTAATTACACCTTCTCTTTCTTGCCACAGGGCTCTCTGTGGGCCCCAGGGCTAGGGAGGCGCTGTAGCACAAACCAGATCACACCCAGGTGAAGGCTGTCTTAGGAGTACCTGGGCTTGGTGGGCAGGTGGATCTCTGGGTGGGGCATGTGACAAGCTTACCTGGGGGACACCAGATGCATGGGCGATGGTGGAAGCCCGTGGTGACAGCAGTGGGTAAGGGTTCTCTGAATCCAGGAGACACAGGTCAGCAAGGGTCCCTGGGTGTTCAGAGGAGTTCCTGGAGGAAGGGCTGCAGAGCTCCACAGGGAACCAGGTGGGGGGAGGCTGGATCAAGCCATGCTGATAGGGCATTTGTGGGGAAAGCAGGCCATGGGTGGCTCAACCACCCAGCTCAGGGAGAAGCAGAAAGGTCATCCTTCCAAAGCTGGCACATCTAGCCCCTCTGTAAAGAAGCTTCTTATATCTCCTTTTCTCCCATGTCGCTTAGAACCTCAGGTTCTTCCTTCTCGCCAAGATCTCCCCAACCAATCACAGGCCATTTCCAACCAACCCTGGAGTTGATATAATCAGAATCACCTGGGTATACTGAGCACCTGCAATGCCCCAGGCATGACACGAAAAGCTTATTTAGCACCTCATTTAACTCTCACCACAACTCTGAGAGTTGGGTGTTATTCCTACCACCCGTGTTCTGTAGACGAGGAATTTGGGACAGAGGGGATAAATGATATGCTGATGGTCACTTGGGGACCATCCCGTTGGACCTGCTCCCTGTAGTTGGGAACTCAGGATGTACCTTTGTTTTGAGGCAATGTGGTCCCTAAATGATGGCATGTCCCTCCCCTCCCCACAGCCCACCCAGCCCAGCCCTGGGAAGGCAGCAGTGGGTTAGTTCACAGCAAACCCCTCCTGACATGTCCATGTGTCAGGAACTGGGCTGGGCCCTGAGCACACAGACCCTGGTCTGCCCTCTGGGAGACGATGCCTGACCCCCTTGCTGCCTCAGGGGAGCAGAAAGCTTTATGACTGATCTGTTACGTTTCACGGTATCAAGCCCATCCAGTGATTGGTTTACAGGGTCAAATCAAAAGCCACTGCATTTTCTAGAAATGTGAGACCTCAGGGACCTCAGAATTCTTGCTCTCAGGATCCTCTGAGTGGCCAGCTTTTCTCCATTAGCAGGTAGGCCTCATTCTGAATGTGCTGAAGCACTTTTGCTCCCAAATCCAAGAAGTTCGCATGTGCTTGTCTGCTCCTTTCTGCCGCCTGGCTTCTCCTCTGAGCTTGGCTTCCAGCTGTCCACAGCACTGCCTGCCCCAGGGGTGACCTTTATGTTGAGGCCCCCTTGGTGCCTTGAAACATCATGTCAAAGCCTCATTCATGCAAACTCTGGCTCTCCTCCCAGCTTGGATCCCATCCTTTGTTCTTATGGGTCCGTGAGGCCAACCTCCATGGACAGCAGCCTGGACCTTGGTGCAGTGCAGCCCCTAGATCCCTTCATTAGGCAAATTAGTGGCCACGGAGAGAAGCCCGACTGCAGAGGGGCATGGAGACCAAGAGCGGTTGCTTTCCACTCAGCCAGCTCCCCCCAGGTTCCTTCTGTTCCTGCCAGGGTGCGTGGAAGCCACGGGGAAGAATCAGACCCGCCCCCTGCTCACCAGCCAAGGAAAGAGCAGATAAGGAAACAGGTCCTCTGAGTCCAGCCAGTGCTTAGTGTTGGAAGGAGGATGGAGGAGGGTGTGTTCAGCCATGCCTGGTCTGACTGAGAGGAAAACCACAGAGGAGGGACCTTATCTGACAGGTGTTTGAAGGACCATGAGGCGTGTTCTAAGCACATGGCAGAGGTGGGACAGAGGTGGAAGACAGGTGTTATAAATGAAGGGAACATGTTTTCTGAACATTGTTTGTTTGCTCTGATCCATTGCAGAGTGGAAGGGGGGCAAAGTGTGTGTGCAGAGAGAGGCGGTGGGGGTGGGGGGGTCAGCCATGAGGGAGGTTCCACTTCCCCAGGCCCCATCCAGGCTCATGCTACCCCTGAAGGCTGACTCTGCAGGCCCTTCTGAACTTACGAGAGCACAGGGCCTGGGGTGACATGTTGGGACTGCCTGCACAGACGGCTGCCCCAGCACACCCCTAGGTCATACAAGGGCCAGCCCTTCACATCTGGGTGCCTGTGATGTCCCTGCTCGAGGGGAGCGCCTTAGAACCACGACTGGGTCTGAGAAAGGCCTCTTGGTGACACTGGTAGCCAGCAGAATAGATATCAGTAATGTGTGTGGGAGAGAGGTAGGAAGGAGAAGAGAAGGAAGGAAGGGAAGAGGGGAGGGGAGGAGGAAGGCGGAGAGGGAGGGAGGCAGGGAGGCGGGCATTAAAAGTGCAATCCTCTCGTGGACCACCCAGTCTGGAACTGGTCTCAGCACCTTGGTTATGACCTCTGGCATCCCTTTCAGGGGGATGGAGCCCCCCCTCCCCCGTTGATCCCTAAAGGCTGGGGAAGGAGGTGGGTGGGGTGAGATGCTCCCATTCTCCTTTCCGCTCCTCTGCAGGCTGATGCTGGGCTTCATGGGTGTCACGGCCTTCCTCTCCATGTGGATCAGCAACACGGCCACCACGGCCATGATGGTGCCCATTGTGGAGGCCGTGCTGCAGCAGATGGAAGCCACAAACACAGCCAGCGAGGCCGACCTGGGGACCCTGGAGCTGGCGGACAAGGGCAAGGCCAGTGAGCTGCCAGGTGAGCCCCCGGCCAGGGTGCTGGCAGGGTCCACGGTGGCAGCCTTTCCCTCTGTTGCCAAAAGCTTTGGCCACCTCCCCGACTCCTGGAACCCACTTTTAAACAGACATGCAGAGAGATACTTAGGAAATGCTATTTTCATAAGTTTTAGGAATGTAATTGCTGCATAAAAATTAGATCGTTTAGTAGAGCTCATAGCAAGTTCCCACCCTTGGTTCCTGCCAATCACAGAAATCAATGCATACTCATTTGATTATTCATTTGGGCATCTTTTGAGCACCTACTGGGTACTTCTCACCCCTTTCTCCGCCTACTAATCCTCAGGGAGGCCTCACCTGAACAGGTCAAACCTCTCATCTGCTCTCTGCTCCCACAGGTATTGGGGTGGTTGTCCCATGTTTCCCCGCTAGGGGCCGAGCTCAGGGAAGTCAGATGGTGTCTGTTTTATTCTCTGCCTTGTTTGCTAAGCCATTCCCCAGGGCCCAGTACAGGGGGGCTCGGCCCATGCTTGTGGCCTGATGGCCAGACCTGGGGCCAGGACCTGGGCCTGCTGAGATGACGCAGAGTGGGGCAGAGTCATGAGGCCCCACACACAGTCCCTCTGACTTGGGGAAACCACAGGGTGCCACCAGCCAGACAAGGGAGAGAGGTCTTGCCAGGAGGAGAGGACATTTGAGATGGATTTGGACAGCCCCCTACATGGAGTGACCAGCTGGAGCAACAGCAAGGAGGCAGGAAAGAAGGGAGTGTGTCTGAAGTTGCTGAATTTGCACGGGGCATCCAGGAGCCTCGAGGAAGCCATGGGATGTGGCTGCGGGGAGACAGATAGGGCCAGACCACAGTTTTGGGCTGGAGGCTAAGGAAAACCTGTGGAGGGAGCCGGCATAGCTGGCACGTCCCCATCCTCAGGTCAGCAGCAGAATTAAGAGCTAGCGCTGAGCCAATGGCCTCTAGGATGGCTCAGCTCATGGAGGTGTGTCACTACAGGGAGCCAAGTGATTTTTGAAGGCCCTGCTATGGGGCAGCAGGAGAATTGTGACAGGAAGAGCATGTGCAAGGCCATGACCCTGTGTGTGTGCTACGCCGCCAGCATCGGAGGCACTGCCACCCTGACCGGGACAGGACCCAACGTGGTGCTCCTGGGCCAGATGCATGAGTGAGTCACTGGCCATGCCTTCTGGGGACAATAACTTGGGCCCTGGGATTGGAGGGACCCAGCCCCTTCTCCCTCCTCCTCAGCTGGGCCCTGACGCTGGGGCCTGGCAGAGGTGGGAGGATGTGCCCCCATCAGCCTCTGGGTCCCAGCACTGTTGCACTTGCTCAGAACCCATCAGAGTGTGGGAGCTGATGACAGTCCTTAGACTTGGTTGCTTTCTGTCTTGGGGTAAGTCCCACCTTTCTCCCCAGGGCTCAGGGTTCTCCCTCAGACTGATCAAATGATCGAGCTCTGTACTAAAGCCGTGGGAAATGACAACGTAGTCCCAGATGTCAGGTCCTTGGTTAAAACTTGCAGAAAATTCACACCCCTACAGATATTACCCTCAAAGCTGACTCACCAGCCATGCTTGTGAATGGTGGTGGTCCTATGATATCAGGGATCTAGAGATGGTACAAAGGATTAGAGGTTAGGTCACTCACTTCCTCATCAGCTCCTCTAGTTGCCCTTGAGGTGACCAGTGCCCTTGTGAGGCCCCAGGTAGACCACAGGGGTGATTTGTAGTCTGGAACTTTCCTTGGCCACAAAGGGACACAGGCCTTGAGGACCCAGTTCTGTGCCTGGCTTTGTGTCGGGTGGGGCTGGGATCACAGAAGGGAGGGAAACCTGGGCCCTGTCCATGGGATATTCATGGTCGGCTGAGGTTAGCAGATGCCTGGAGAGTTCTAGGTGGGTCACGTAAATGTGTTAACGAAGGTAAGTTGAGCACAGAGGGAAGGAACTTAAATACGATGGTGCCCGTCCTGCACATACAAGAGCCCTGGACAGGTAGGGAGGGCAGCTAGGAAGTGGGCAGGACAGGCCTGGAGCCTGGCGGGGCTCACCTGAGATCCAACAAGCAGACTATGCTGATCCTGTGAGTGTTTTCTGTAATGACAGCCTTCCAGTTTTCCCTGGAGCTCCTTTGAGAAAAGCAGCTGTCAGGGCTGAGTGCAGAAAGCTCTGCGTTTACTTTGACACCCTTGGGCTAATGGGAGCAACTCCTAGGGGTGAGAGGCAGAGCCTGGAGTGGAAGTAATCTTCTTCCAGCCCCAGAAACATCTTCTGGTTCCACCCAGGCAAACTTTGAGATTTGCTTTCTTAAGAGGGCCCTTCCTTTGCAGAAGCTCACAGAATGAGGGTTCTGAGGATCCCTGGACTCCCTGCGGAATTATGTGTGTACAAAGGTGTATTTCTCTGGAGGGAAGGGCCATAACTTTCATGAGATTTTCAGCAGGGTCTGGACCCCTAGGAGGGTCAGTTGCTCACTCCTTTTGTGTAGCCATGTTCTGAGGACCCCGCCAACTGATTGAGATAATACCAGGTGGTGGAGTTGGGTGGCTGGACCTCAGGAATATGAGGCCCCTGCTCCAGGCTTTCTCGCGGGGTCCACAGCTCAGTGTCTGGTAGAGATGTGGACCGGTGTTTCTCCCTTCAGATTGTTTCCTGACAGCAAAGATACCGTGAACTTCGCCTCTTGGTTTGGATTTGCCTTCCCCAACATGGTGATAATGCTGCTGCTCGCCTGGTTGTGGCTCCAGTGTATCTATATGGGATTCAAGTAAGTTTGAGCTGCTTCCAGAATACAGCCTGATCGGCCATGCCCCTGCAGAAGACTCCTCAGACTCATTAGGTGACTCCTCAAAGTTCTTCCTGTCTGGTCTTGTCTGTTTCTCTAGCCCCATCGCCTGCTAGTTTGCCCTCCCATTCTGGCCACCTCAGGCTGCTCACTGAGCCTTTTCACATGCTGTTCCCTCTTCCTGAAATGCCATTCCCTACCTTCCTGCCTTCCAACCTCCTCAGACTCCAAGGCCAGTACAAATGCTGCTTCCTAGGGGACACCTTTCCTGACTTTCCCCCACCCCCATTCCATCACAGAAGAATTCCTTGCTTGCTACTCTGGGCTTCCCTGGGCCTGTCCCCCTGTAGTCACGTTCCAGTGCTGTCTCTGCCCCCTGACCTGAGCTTCTCTGGGGCCTGGGGTAAGTCTTCTTTGTCCCTTGTACCCAGCCTGGCTCCTGACCTAGCGAGAAAGAGCAGGTGTGACACCAACGTGAGTCAATTCAAGGGAATCTTGTTCCCGTGTGCAGATCGATACTGCTGGACAAACTTCCACTTGGCTGGATGTGTCCATTAGGTCAGGTCATAGCAGACTACCTGACAAGGTCCAAACAACCCAAACCCGGACCTTTCCTGAGTGCCCACAATGTTCCAGCAGTGTGCGGGTTCTGGAAAGTTTACCTTCCTCTTCCCAGCACATTGGCAAGTTCACCAAGAGTCAACCTTGACAGCAGCCAGACTTTGAACGGAAACCATGATGCGTGGCTGGCAAATATCGAAAAAAGCTGTTGTGATTTTAAAAGATACAAATTTATCGATGGCACAAAGGTGACCCTGTCACACTGGGGTGGAAAGTACTTAGCTGTGAGCCGTGTGCCCTGTGCCTAAATTCACGGGCAGCTGGAACCGCATGAAAGGGGCCTATGTCACCAGAGGAGGGAGCTCTCAGAGGTGGGAGGCCAAAGTGCCCACCAAACCTGTGAGTTAATAGGGAAAACAGGGCAATTTTGTAAGTTTTCTTCTGAAGGAGGAACTGTTTTGAAAACTGCCGGTAAAAAAATCTCTATACATAATCAAAGTAGTCATAGCAACCACATAATAGTAGTAAGTACCCCTCACATTGCACCCCTGTGTGCAGGCCTCACGTGAGAGGGAAGCTGCTCCCATGGGTGCTTGGGGCACAGCGTGGTTTTGATTGAAGCTCTTTGACCTGCTTCAGCAGGTCCTCCTGACCATCCAGCTCGCCTCAGGAAACCTGCCCCAAACCTGTTGCAGGCTGCTTGCGGGCGTCTGTGTCTCCTCATGGGACCGTAGTAATAATATTGACCACGTCTATCGAGTGCTTATTAAGTGTCAGACAAGATTTATAAGGCAACTGAGGCAACCGGAGGAGAAATGGTCTGTGCAGCGTTGTACATCTTGGAAGCCATGGGACTGAGATTTGAATCCTGGCAATTTGGCTCTAGAGCCTGTGCGCACTACCCTGCATCCCTGTCTCAGTCAGCTCAGGCTGCCATAGCAAAATGCCACAGGCTAGGCGGCTTAAACCACAGACATTTATTTCTCACAGTTCTGGAGGCTGGAAGTTCAAGATCATGGTGCCAGCAGATTTGGTTCCTGGTGAGAAAACCTCTTCCTGGCTTGCAGAAGGCCGCCTTCTCACTGTGTTCTCACATGGGGGAGAGAGAGAAAGAGAGAGAGTGAAAGCTCTGGTGCTTTCCTTTTCTTATAAAGGCACAAGTCTCAATCATGAGGCCCCACCCTCATCTAAACCTAGTTAACTCCAAAGGCCTCACCTCCTAGTACTGTCACACTGGGGGTTAGGGCTTCAACATAGGAATTTGTGGGGAAACAGGTCAGTTCATAACAATCCCCCCTTGGGGAGGCTGAGGGTTGCTGCCCTTTACTCCTCTGGGCCTAGGTACAGCCAGGTGTCAGAGGTACCCGCTGTAGCCTCCCCTCAGGCTGGGGTTGGCAGGGACCTGTAGTCCTGAGGCCTACTGAGTTCTCTGGCAGAGCAAGCAGAGGGGAGCTGGCCTGGCCCCAAGACCACAAGGACACCATCACCCTCTAAAAGTGGACACCATGCTCCTGGAAACTCACAGCCAAGGACCTGAGCTGCGGTTCACTCACCTGGTGTGGCCTCCATCAGTCTTCTTGACCAGCAGGGAGCCTGGAGACTTCTGGAGTCTGCCTGTGGTTGGCTCAGGCTTGCCGCTCATCCCACCCCTTCCCGGCATGCCGCTGTAGCTCAGGAACCCTCGCCAACCAGACGTGCAGTGTGGTGGGTTGGTGGGGAGGCCTGGCTCATAGGCAGCCCTGTTTGGACAGCTTTTTACATCAGCTTGAACGACAGGACAGCAGGAGATGTCTCCCGGCCCAGGCCATGTCCTGCCATGTACCAGGAGCTGCCTCCATGCCTCCTGGACCACCTCACTGAACAGGGCAGCACCTCAGTCTCAGCTGTGGGAAGCATCGATACTGTGCCCTCACTTGAATCCCTTATCTGAATGGTCCTGGAGAGCAATGTTAGGGCCATTGCCTTTGGCCTCATCCAGAAAAACTATCTTCCTGAGTTTATGGGTGACCTCCTTGGCTACTTCCAGCCAAGGGAGCCATAGACCCTCCAGGATCCCACAGGACTAATGACATCACTGATGACTTATACCCAACTTTCTTAACCAGGCTGACCCCTGGATTAGGGGTGAGGGCTCTTCTAGACCCCTGCCACAGTGGAGGCACTCAGGGACTTAGGGGTCCTTCGCCTCTTCTTGGCTCTGCAGCATAGTCACCATGTTCATCCACATTGTCCTGAAAGCCATTCTGCTATAGAAGGACACTTGGCACCCACCCCACTCCCAGGCTCCCACAGGCAAACTGGGTCCATTTGCCTACATTTCATGCCAGCCTAGCAGTCACCAGAAGGGATTAACCCAGAGATGAGGGTGAAAGTGCTTAGAGTGAGAGGGTCCTGAAGGCTTGGCTAGCTATGGGAGCTGGCATTGGATAACTGCATAGACAATGCCGCCCCCAGAGTGCACAACCACTGTGGGGTCAGACATGGGCACTGCAGCTGGGAGAACCAGAGTCAGCCCTTATCCTGGAAACCCAAAGCCTCTGGCCCAGCCCTAGAGTCTAGAGAGAATGACAGGTGGTAGCAGATGCGTGCTTGGTAGAACACTGACTCGCCCATGCCAAGGGGGCGAGGCCACCTTGCACGCCAAGCAGAGTCATCCCCATGCCAGGAGATTCTGGAGGGTGTCCCCAGAAGGTGACCTTTGGGACGCATGGCCTTGCCCCATGTCCAGCATGAGATCCTGGCAGGCTGTGCAGAACTGCGGCCCCATCACTGCCGCCTCCTTTCCCAACCCCTGAGCACCCTGGGAGACTATGTCCTAACATTCTGTGTCCCATGTTTAGGCCCCGCCCCATCACCAGTATGGCCCTCACCCTCTCACAGGCAGTTCACATCCAGCCCTGGCTTCAGGAATCCGTGCCTTGGCACCCATGCCAACATTTCCTGCCCTCCTATGAAGTCTGTCTTAGGGCCCCAGGAAGGACATCCACAGGGAGGGCACCTTAGGAACAATCCTGTTGGCCTGGCCCACCAGTTTCAGGCTGACAGGGGCTGGTGTCAGAGAAGTCCTCCAGGCCTGCATCCTGGGCCCCATTGGCCCCAGTTAGCCCCTCCCCGTGGCTCAGTTACCCTCCACGTCTCCTCCAAGAATCCCTCCTTCCTGCCCCCTCATGCCAGCATGCCCTGGGGAGGTCCTGCAGTGCACCCTGGGAAGGCCACGTTGGCCAGTGGGCACTGGTCTCTAGAGAGCCCATCCGAGAGCAGGGCCAGGGCTGGCTTCCTTCTTGCCATAGCCATGCCTGCTGGTAGCTCCTGTCTCCTGGATCCTGAATCTTTCCTCTGCAGCTCCCTGGAATGCAAGCACCCACCCTGCTCCTGCTTGGCCCTGTCTGCTTTTTCCTTCTGTCCTCTTGTGCCACCCCAATGATGGGGCTGGCATCCCAGGACCAGACTCAGGAAGCATGTGACAGAGCCCTGACCCACCTCGAGCCAGCTCCAGAACTCATGGCCTTCCCCAGATAATGGGACCAGCTGTTCTCCAGGAGACGGGGCACCTGCTGGGTCACCGTTGCCAGCGGTGGCCTCAGTTCTGCTTATTTCTGCCTCTGATGCTCCTGCCCACCTCCCTACCCCTATACCCCCTGTCCTGCTCAGTCTCCAACCTTCTTGTCTGCCATCTCCTTTCCTGTCTCCACTGTCCCTGAGACCTGGCCCAGACTGGCCACTCCACCTGTGCCATTTCTAGCCTCCTCTGGGAATACCCTTCAGTTCGGGAGGCATCCTGGGGTATGTGTTGGGCACACATAACAAAGCCTTCCCCACTGTGTCTTGTGAGAGGGGAAGCAGAAGACAAAAATGAGGAGTGGGGAAGGGACTTGCTCAAGGCCCCTGCAGGTGCCAGGCAGCACCATACGCTTTTATGCCAAGTTCTGCTGCCCAAGCAGGCTTCCATCTGACCAGCCCCTGACCTAACCAACTTGCCCTGCTATTCTCTTGTCTTTGCATCCTCTAGTTTCAAAAAGTCCTGGGGCTGCGGGTTGGAGAGGAGGAACAACGAGAAGGCTGCTTATGAGGTGCTGCAGGAGGAATACAGGAAGCTGGGGCCCTTCTCCTTCGCCGAAGTCAACGTTCTGCTCTGCTTCCTCCTGCTGGTCAGCCTATGGTTCTCCCGGGACCCTGGCTTCATGCCTGGCTGGCTCTCGGTTGCCTGGGCTGAAGGGGAGACAAAGTAAGTCGTTCTTTCTGCAGCACCCTCCGTAGCACTCCTGTGTTCTGTCCTTGAGTTCTGGAGTACTCTGTTGGTCCCATGACTCATTTTTTTTCTCACCAATCTTCATGACAAACCCCCAGATGTATTCCTGTGTCCTCTCCTGCCTCCACACAGGCCGTGAGAGGGAAGTGAGCTGTTCAGGGTCATCCAATGTTGGTGGCAAAGCAAGGCTTCGTTTCCAGCCAAAATTCAGTCTACTGCCTGATCTCTGTCTTTGGGGTTCCAGTTTTCATACCCAGCTAAGCCCGTTTCTTCATATAGGAGCATTTAGACATGGTAGAGGTTTGTTGCATGACTGCCTGTGCAGCTGAGCTGGCTCATCCTGTGTGCTCTCCCCGACCTAGGTATGCCTCCGACGCCACCGTGGCCATCTTTGTGGCCATGTTGCTATTTGTTGTGCCTTCACAGAAGCCCAAGTTCAACTTCTGCAGTCAGACTGAGGAAGGTAAGGCTCCTGTTCTGGCCTCCCATTCAATCAGGGTTGGGGCCCTGGCACAAAAGGCTCTCTGTGGGAGTCCCTGGGCTCAGGAAGAAGAAAATCCCACCCTATTGAAGAGGATTGGCAGATTACAAAATCTGGGCAGAAGGGGTTTTTCAAGCCTTCCCTGGGTATTGGTAGGTGCAAAATATCTCCTCTTTTGCTTTTTAAACACCTGAAATCTTATTAATGTTATAACAGGAACAGAAAAATGTTTCAAAGTACTTTTGAGTTTCTGACTTCCTCCTAGTCTTTATCAATATGCACATGTAATATATGGCTATAATCAAAACACACAGTTTGAATCCTGTTATTTTGTTGCTTTTGTTTTCATGTTTTTGCTTGAGGTTACAAAAATATTTCCTGCTATTGCTGCAGTCTTCAAATTTATTTTTTCTAATAACAACATTATATGGCATCGGGGGACTAGAGCCATTCTCCTGTTATGGAACACTCTGGCTGTTTTTAAATTTTTCATTATTATAAATTAATGTGTTCATGTATAGAGCTTTTCCCTGGAGGGTGTTTCTCCTTTAGGATACATTTCTAGGAGTGATGTTCCTGGGATAAAAAGAGTCTGTATGTCTTCATGGCTCTTAAATGTATTGCCAAATTGCTTTTCAAAAAGATTGTACCGATTTACAATGCTACCAGGAGTGTGTAATAGCTTTACAATATCTTCACCGGCAATGGGTATAGTAATTATTGTAAATTTTAGCTAATTTACAGATATGAGATGGTCCTCATTGTCCTTACAGGCTCTAGTTCCCCTTCATTAGATCTCTTTTGCTTTCAAATGCTGCTCTGGGTGTGTATGTGTGTGTTTTATTGTTTCTTTTCAGAAAGGAAAACTCCATTTTACCCCCCTGCACTGCTGAACTGGAAGGTGACCCAGGAGAAAGTTCCCTGGGGCATTGTGCTGCTACTGGGGGGCGGATTTGCTCTGGCCAAAGGATGCGAGGTAACTTCTCTGGCTGTGAGCTCCCTGGGGTCCCCTTCATTCACCGAGAGGGTGGCCAACGAACTAGGTGCCTCTACCTCTGCACCCCTGGGCTGGCTCCACTCACTGCACATTTCTTGAGGAAAGGGGCTCTGCCTTGTCATCTAGAAACCCTGCACCATGAATAGTGCCTGGAATAGAGGAAGTACTCTGAGTGACTGCAAAACTTGAGTGCATTTACGTGACCCTGGTTAGCCAAGAGAGGCAGAGTACACTGTGAGGCCTCTTTTGGGATTTGGTAATAAGGATCTTTGCTCCGATTGATTCTAGGGAAATCTTTCTTTCAAGTCCTTGTGAATATTTTCACCATTATCTTTGTTTGGTTCTACTTGCTGAATTCTTTGTTGATATGGCTTGCCTGCCATTTAAAAATTTTCCTCTAGCTAAGTATGTGGCAGCATAGAAGGGGAGGAACAGCTTTCGTGGGAAAACACCCCAAAATGTAACTTTCTTATCTCCCCCTCCTTCCTTGATAGGGAAGAAATGAGCCAGAGGGAGGAATAAGCCAGCTTGATGCTGCTATCCTCCACCCACCCATTTATCCACCTGTGCATCCATCCGTCTGTCCATCTGTCCATCCATCCAGGAATAGAATGTAATAGATAGATAGGTCTATCTTGTCACTGCTGTTTCCTCAGCATCTAGGACAGAGCTTGGTGCATGGTGGGTGCATAAATATTTTTTGGGTGAACAAATCCATCCATCTAGTCACTTTTCCATCCAGCCATCCATTCATTCATTCATCAAAGATTTCTATTATATCCATGTGAGGCCAGGCACGGGAATTACAGAGGAGATTGAAATATAGTTCCTGTTCTTGAGGGCTTCACAGTCTAGAGAGGGGGACATATGTAGAAGAGCATTTCAGCAAGGAGTGACACATGAGTGAAGGAGAAGGTGTGTGATATCTAGCCAAAGGACAGAAGATGAGGCAGGTGAGGCTAACAGAAGCAACTTCAAGGAGGGTCTTGAATTCAAAATAGGAGTATGAAGAGTTGAGAACCGAGAGTGACTTGGTCGGGTCTGCATTTGGGGAAAATCATTCTGATGTCTGGAGTGGAGGCGTGGCCAGGGCAGCAGTTGAGGGAGGCTCAGTAGATGCTCTGTAGCCTTCATCTAACTCCATGTCAGAACACTGGGCTCCATGAACCATTCTCTCCTTGAAATACCCTCCTTTGACTCCCAAGACACCATTGTCTCCTGGTTTCCTTTTAACTCTGACTGTTCCTGCTCAGCCTCCTTTTATGACTTGTCCTCTGTTCTCCCTTAAATATGTGTATTCCCCAAGGCTGTCCTTGGCCTCTTCTCTGTTCACTTTTCATTCTCTTCCTGGACAATCTCTTCTCAGCCCAAAGTACCAATTCCAGATTCCCAATTTCTGGCTCAAATCACTCTCCTGAGCTTCCAGAACTGTGGGAGATTGAGAGGGGACAATGGACATAAGATGTTTTGGGTGACTGATTGGATGGAAGGGATGAGGGGGCAGAGACGCCCAGGATGACTCCCAGTCTTCCAGGTTGGACAGCAAGTAGATGGTGAATCCATTCACTAAGCTGGGGAGCCCAGGGAGAGCAGTAGAATCTGGGCGAGAGAGGATGAATGCAGGTTGGGGTATGCTGACTCTGACATGCTCACAGGACATCTGGATGGAAATTTCTAGAAGGAATATGGATGTTTAAATCTGGATAGTAGACCAGCTGGGCTGGAAATACAGGTTTAGGAAACAGTAGGGCGAGGATGGAGATTGAAATTGCAGGCATAGGTGAGATCACCTATGGAACGTATGCAGAGAATCAGAAGCGGGAGATGGGCTGAGCTCCCTGGAGAAAAACAAGGGTCTGTTCTGGCCCTAGAGGAGCTGTAGCCTCGTTGCCCTGTGGTGACTGCCCTCCTGGTGCTTCCCAGGCCTCGGGGCTCTCCGAATGGATGGGGAAGCAGATGGAGCCCTTGCACGCTGTGCCCCCAGCAGCCATCACCTTGATCTTGTCCTTGCTTGTTGCTGTGTTCACTGAGTGCACAAGCAACGTGGCCACCACCACCCTGTTCCTGCCCATCTTTGCCTCCATGGTAAGTAACCTGCTTGGGGGGGGGGGGACTCTTAGCGCCCACTTCACAGGAAGTTGTCAACCTGCAACTGTGTTGTAGGTCACTAGAGAAGCAGTGAAATGAGGGGCCAGAGCCTCACTAGGCTTTGGGGACCTGGGTCTGGCCCTGGCTCTGACAGGACGCATGTGCCCTCGACCCTGGGCCTGCCCTTAGTGCTTTGCTGATTCTTGTTTGTATCCTGTGTGCTAGCCAAAGCACTAAGCATGAATCAGGTGTTCAAAGTTTATTTATAAATGTCCCTGGCTATTTCTCCAGATAGGGAGACAGGACTTGCAGCAAGGAAGAGTGGACCAATGCCATGGGGGAATGATAGAGGGTCTCTGAATGTGTAGAACTGGTGGACTGCAGAGCAGGGGGATGCCACTGGCTGGAACCCGCCAGGAAGAGGTCTTAGGGAAGGTGGGGCTTGGGAATGGTCATGGAAAGAGGATGTCTGGGAAGATGGAGAGCCCAAGTAAAGGAAATGGGGGGGGGATGACTGAAAACTCCCAGAAGCCTTGCATGGTGAGCACAGGGATCAGGGATGAGTGTGAGCTGAGCCCAGAGAGGTGGTGGGTGGTGGAGGAGGGGGGATGCTGTGTGCCAGGCTAAAGAGTTTTGTTCTATGGGCAAGCATATATTGAAGTTGGGACTGAGAAGAAAGCAGGGCTTATGGGAAAATCAGCTGTGATCGTTTCTTGGATTTCCTCCTGTCACTCATCACATGGGAGTACTGACCTCAAGGTGGTATAGGAAGAGCCCTGGGTTTGCAGTCAGAAGGCCTGAGTTCAAGTTGTGGGATCCTCGAATGTGTCACTTAAGTTCTTTCCTCCTACACTTGTGCTGAGGGTCAAGCAACATGAGGGCGAGGAAAACCCTCTGTACACTGCAAAATGGGGTTGACTCTCCGGAGTTGGGAAACAGACTTCCTAAGGCCTGAACACAGTATTGTCGTTTGTAAATTTCCATTTGACTGCCAGGGTATCCATGTGTTTACAGAGCAAACCCAATGGTTTCTCCTTCCAGTCCAAGCGAAGATGAAAGTGTTAGAAATAGTAAGGTGGCACCACCGCCTCCCCTAAGCAGGCTGCCCAGGCAGATGCAGCATGTAACATCTTTTGATGCTGGGCATGTGGTGAGGCCTCCCCACCACCCCATCCCAGCAAAGGCCTGGCTTTGTCACCTTTGGCCCCAGCAGTGAGCCCTGAAGGCTTCAACCAGAGAAATAGAGGTCTTAACCCAAGGGAGTGGCCAGGCCCTTTGAAAACAAGCTTGTTTAGAAACAGAAGCCCCAAATAAGATTCCCCCACAGTTACCTCCAAACCCACTCACACTCCTGCCTCAGCACCCACCTGTGGAAAAGGGAAAGGTAGTGACCCCCAAGCTGGGTCACAGAGTCATATGGGGTGAATATGCCATGTGTACCCGAGGCCAGGACAAATGAGAGAACCAGAAAATAGGCCCCTGCCTGGAACCTCTCAAGTACTCCCAGAGGGAGTGTAACTGGGTGCAGCCTTTTAAGAGACCTGTTTACCCACAGGAACCATAACCTAAAACCTGCTCATACCCTATGACTCAGCAATTTCACGTCTGCAAATAATGTCTTAGGAAATCATCAGAGATGCCTACAAGCATATACAGTTGACACTTGAATAACGTGGGGATTAGGGACACCAACACCCTGCACTGTCGAAAATCCCCAAATAACTTTTGACTCCCCCAGAAGTTAAGTACAGTCCCTCAGTCCCTGGGGGATTGGTTCCAGGACCTCCGTTGGATACCAAAATCCACAGTGCTCAAGTTCTTTGTTTAAAATGGCACAGAACAATTCATACGACTACAGTTGGCTCTCTTCATCCACGGATTCCCAACTGTGGCTGGAAAAATAATGTTTTAAATTCGTGGTTGGTTGACTCTGCAGATGGGGAACCTGGGGATATGTAGGGCTGACTGCATATTTATTGAAAAAAAATCTGTGTATAAGTGGACCCACACAGTTCAAACCTATGTTATCCAAGGGTCAACTGTATTATAAAATGAATATTACAGAATGATTTAGCATAAAATATTTCCATAATACTAAGGGATTGATGAAATAAGTTATCAGATATTCATACAATGTAATACTATCAAGCCATTTTTTAAAAAATCAGTTTTGAAGAGCAATTAATAAAATGGGAATATGTATCTTTTTTAAAGTTGAAAATGTAATACATATGTGTGGCTTAAAATGTGTAATAATACCAAAGAGTAAATACCAAAGAGTATAGATCCTAACCCTCTAGCATCCTCCCTAGAGACAACTTCTGTTATTAATTTCTTAGGTATCTTTCTGAATGTATTACATTCACACACACACACACACGTGCGCGCGCGCACTCTAGGTCTGTGGTCCTGTTCTGCCTCTTAAATTTTTTAAAATCTAAATATAGATCCTGGAGCTCTTTCCATGTTAGCACATAAAACCTACTCAGTTCCTCCTTCCAGCCACCAACTATTCCATTGTTTGCATACGCGTACTTTATTTAACCATTCTGTTCTTGATGGCCATGGAGTCTGTTTCCTGTGTGTTTTGCTGTTATAATGTTGCTGCGAACATCTTTGCATATACGTCTGACCTCATGTGCATGTAAAACTGCATGCTAGATTATTAATTTTGATAGATATCCACAGACATTATGAATTATATTATGATATCATTCATTCAGCAAATATTTAATGAGTGTCTGTCTACTCTGTGCTAGGTGTTCTTACATGCGGCTGAATTTTAAGCTGTAGAGTAAAAAAGATGGATCCCAAATTCCATGTTCAAAATGATCCCAAATGTGTACATAAAAATATGCATACATAGAAGCATCCATAGTTGAGAAGTCATGGTTCCTACCCTCTAGGCTCTCTCACTGTGGCAGGACGGCGAGACGTGTGCACATGTGGGCTGCAGGAACACCAGAAGATTCATTGCAGTTTAAGTGGCCAGCATGGTCTCTGGCACATAGTAGGTGCCCAAGAAATATATGTTGAGGGAATTGAAGGGGATTAGAAAGGCCTCTTGGGGAGATGGCGCTGAGCTCAGCCCTTGGGGTTCAGTAGCACTATCACCCAGAGACATGGCAAAGGTTAGAGGGCCCAGAAGGACAAGGCACAGAGGTGGGAATGTGCACAGCGCATTAGAGGAATGCTTTTCAGATAACGGTCCCTGGGAGCTTTTGTTTTCCGTATCTGTGATGCTGCCACGCTGTGTTTCCCCCAGTCACGCTCCATTGGCCTCAATCCGCTGTACGTCATGCTCCCCTGTACCCTGAGTGCGTCGTTTGCCTTCATGCTGCCCGTGGCCACCCCACCTAACGCCATCGTGTTTGCCTATGGACACCTCAAGGTTTCTGACATGGTAACGCAGCCGTTTTTATTTACTCCTATCAGCTTTGATGCTTTTGCCATGAGGGAGGCCCCGTTTATTAGTGACATGTGATGTCATACGATTTTGGGAATACCATCAAATAGTCAAACCCATCTTCGTTATTTGCACTTACATGCAGCTTTTCTTCTTTTTTGAAATGATCTCAAATTTCATACTGTTCTCTCTCCCAAAGATGAGAGGTGGATTATAGAATCTCCCACCTGGAGGAGTCTGAGTAGCCACCAGAGGAGCTCTCGCTGAGCACTTGGAAGGGGCGAGGGTGGGGGTCCCACATGGCCAAGATGGACGTCACAAACCAGCAAGAACCCCTGATGATAGCCAGGAGGGGCAGGGCTGAGATGTGTGTGGAGTTGGGGGGGGAGTGCTAATGACAGCCAAAGAGATTGACAGAGGCATCTGCAGACGAAGAAGCAGGGAGGGAGAGAGAGACCACTGCCTGGGAACAGTAGATGATGCCTTGGCGAGGCTCTCCAGTTCTGCTTCGGCTTTGTCGCCTCTGACAGGAGAAAGAGAGCAGCTCTGCAGCTCTGGGAGGGGGAGAAGCAAATGCGTAAGCGGGGGAGGCCAGAAATGAAGGTCCCTACCTCAGCCCAATCAGGTGTCAGTTATCTCAGAGCCTCCACTGGTATCTTTGGGACTCCATGGGACATTCTCACAAAGAGGGTGGGCCCCAGAAACCATGGGCTGCAAACTCAGTTCCAACAAGGCTTTAAAGCAGTGGCTAATGAGCATGAGGAGGCATCAGAAAGAGCCAGAGGAGGTTCTTGGGAAGCCAGCAGGTGACCGTGAGGCGGTAAATGTGCTGGGTGAGCACGGGACCTAGAGTCAGACCCAGGCTCCCCCAGTACCTTCCCGAATGGCCTGGGGTGTTGCCTCCCATCACCTCTTGGAGGCCCAGTTTTCCAAATACTCAAGTGGGCACAGAGAGCCCACCATCCTGCCTGTTTCCCAAGGATGCTTTGAGCACTGGCGATACTTACTGGGCATGAAGTTGCCTTGTCTGGGGCTGGGTTGAGCACAGAGCATGGCCCAGGGACAGGAGGCCCAGCAAACTAGCCTTTGCTTCCTTCTCTGAGAGCACGGGTTCCCAGTGTCCCATGCGCCTTTGTTCTGACAGCCCAGCCAACCTGAGGGTGCTCGCTGACTCTGGCCCTCTGTTTTTCCAGGTGAAAACAGGACTAATGATGAACATAATTGGAGTCTTCTGTGTATTTCTGGCAGTCAACACCTGGGGACGGGTTATATTTGACTTGGATCGTTTCCCTGACTGGGCAAATGTGACACATATTGAGACTTAAGAAGGACCACGAGACCACAACACAGCTCTGCCCTCCTGAGGATTCCTGAACCTTCTGGCACACCTTAGAGCTTTGGGGTTCACACCCCCAAAGTGACCCAATGATGCCCACACCCCTGGAGACCCAGGCCCAGGTCATAGCTGGGGATGGGCAGCTGGAGGGCAGGCTCAGAAGTGAAGGGAGCTTCCCAAGAGGCTGCTGGTGTCCATCTTTCTCAGGGGCCTGCCATCATCTCTGGGACAGGCAGGCTGCAGAAGGACCAGGACGCAGGCTTCTGCCCCCGCTCAGCCTCGAACCGGCCCCACACTGGGCTCCAGTATCCATTTGCTTAGTCCCAGGGTCATCTAAATGGGAATCAGATCCCAAATTGAGAGGTGACCAAACTACCTCCCGGAGCCTGTGTCTCTTGCTGCCGACTTTGGGCTGCCTCGGATCACTCCTGTCACTTGGAAGGGACAACCCAGCCCAGGGACAGAACGTCTGTCTGGTCCTGGGCAGACAGCTTCCCACTGCTGGAGTAAGAGTGGGAATCAGAGCCTCCTGGAACCACTAGGAGGATAGTGCCACCACCAAAGGATGAGGAATTTGAGTTGATAACTTCTGGACAACATCGCCCACAGCACACCGTGGGTGAACCTGCTCCCCTCTTTACCTCACTCCATTTTAACTGGCGATTTGGACCGCTTTCCCACCGCTCCAGTGCACCTCCTTCCACGCCTAGGGCCTTTTGTTGTCTGGGCCAACATTCCTTGGGATCCCCTGGCTGGGGCTCCTGGCACCCCCTTTTCTCCCAGGCAGGTCAGTTTGGCTCTTCGGGAAGATGCTTTTCCTGCCACCCCACACAGCTGGGCTCACACTCCAAGTATGGGCAGCGATGACTCCTTGGGGGCCACTGGGGTATCTAGGTCCTCCCTTACCTGTAGGCCCACAGTGGACACAGCTGTTAATCACCAAGAGCAGGGTCCCGTCAGAGTTATTCTGTCCTGCTGAGTTCAAGCTCCCCCGGGGAAAGCCTTCCCTTCGCTGACTGGCTTTCGCAGCCATGCTGGGTGGTGACAACATTGCTGAGAATGAGCAGTGCTTGGTGGTCCCTGAGCTGACAGCCCCTGCCCATGTGTGAATCTACCTGAAGTTGCTGGAGCAAAGACCCCAGAGTGGCTATGGGAACCCTTAGAACCCCAGGAGAGATATTACACATGAGAGACACCCACCCTTTTGCCCACCAACCCCATTTTATTTTTGTGGTGCTCTGGAAGAGAGGCAGTAGCAGATATATGAGGTCCATGGATGACATTTTTCAGGGCAGGAGAAAGGATGGGAACCCAAGGGAACCACCTCAAGGAATGAGCATGTACCTGGCTCTCTGAGTGGGAGGATTCTTGACTGCACCCTTTGTCTCCCATGGAAAGGTGCGCTGTCTCTGGCTTTCTGGGGTGGGAGGCAGGGGCAGGGGGATGAATGAACACCTACTCACTGGCCACCTCCTGCGTGCCAGGCCTCTCTGTACCTGGTGCATCCACTACTCATCTCATTTGCCTTTGCAGCAGCCCTGTGAGATAGGCGGGTGTTATTATCCTTCTCTGTCTTTCAAGAATACTGAGGCCCAGAGAGGCCAAGTCACATGTCCATAGTCACATATCATGTTAGTGGCACTTAGGGTTCCAGTCCAGATCTTGGGCCTCCATGTCCACTGCTCCTTCCTCATTAAGGGTCTTGGCCTTATAGGACCTATAGGGAAAAGTGGGCGGCCAAGAGAAAGTCCACCCCAAGGCCCTTCCTGCTCAGGGAAAATTGTTCAGCAAGAGCCCCTTTTTGCTGCCTCCTTTGAGATGGGCTCAGGTCAGTGTTGGAGCAGACAGGGCTGATCTTTGCCTGAAGAAGCAGCTTCTGGTTGGAGACAGAAGTATGAAAATGGCTCCCTGCTCCCCACATCAAGGTAAAACTGATGCACCCCTCTATCACAGTGCTCCACACCGCTGCTGTGGATGTGTCTGCCACAGCGGTCTGAGGGCGCACCAAGGACTTGCACTGCCTGCTGGGTCCAGTGCCCACACTAGGGCTGACCTACAGTAGGACACCACAGGTGTGGTTGGTAAATAAACAAGTGATCAGCGTGGTCAATTAGATGCAACCTGGTGGTAGTGGGCAAGGTCAGTGAAGGTCATCCAAGGTGGGCATTGAAAGATGAGTAGGACTGGCCAGGCTGATGAGGGAGAATGTGGTGGGGTGGGTAGAGGACTCTACCAGACTCCGTGTGGTTGAGCGCTGACAAGAAAGCTGGGTGGGGCTCCAGGGGAGAGATTCCACAATTGAGGAGCTGACCAAAGGCGGTTTCTATACAACTTCTCTTGAATTTGGCTAGAGTTGCACTAACATTTATGGCCAGTGCCAGTCAGGCTTGTTTTTAGCTGCAAGTAAGAGAAAACCCAGCTAACAGTAGTTTAAATCATAAGGATAGTTAATATCTACTTAACAAGAAGTCTGAAAGTAGACAGCCACTGGCTTTGGTCCAGCCACTCTCAGACCACCAAGAACTTGGGCTCTACCGTCTACTCTGCCATCCTAAGGGTATCTTGCCTTTCTGTACTCTCATGCTTGACCCCCATGCTACATACACATCTACATTGAAGGCAGGAAGAAAGTGGTGTGGGGTGCGGGCACGACAGTGCCTGGAAAGAAAACGCTTTCTCAGAAGCCCCTACAGAGTTCCCTTTATGTCTTCTTGGCCAGAGCTAGGTCATACACCCACCTTTAGGCCAGTCATGGACAAAGGGCAATTGGAATGCTGTTGGAATACCATGAGACCACTTAGGACCCATCTCTTGGGCTTGGGGAATTGGCCTATGTTTACTGAAATGAAGAGATTTCCATTCACTACAAAATCTGGGTTCAGGCGGGAAAAAAGAGGGGGCAGCTATTGGATAGGTGATGAACAGGGTCTGGTGTTAGGACCCTTTCAGAGGGCTGCTCTTATTCCGGTCCATGGAATTCAGTAAAAATAGGTTTCTAGGTAGGAAGAGAGTATATGGTTGTCTGGTCAAGGGCTCAGTTCTGCTTCCGCTTCCAGAAGGGCCAGGCCTCTTCCGGGAGACCCGCTGGATTGGGAGGCTAAAGTCTGAGTCATGAACCGAGAGCAGTCCTGACATCCGACACTGAACAAGTCAGTCCACTATCTGGGCCTCAGTTTCCATTAGGAAGGGGCTGGACTAGAGGATCCCTAAGGGCCTGGCCCCAGAGTCATGGGTCCTCTTACCGCACCTGATCCGTCATCTGCTTGGGCAGATGCAGCCCCCACCCCGCTTCTCCATGCCTTCTCGTCTGGGAGTCTATTACACAGCCTACACCCTGTTCCCAGCTGGGTCTTCGCCATTTTCTGGAAGCCCTCTCAGACCTTTTCCCCGTCTGTATTTTGTTTCTTACATTTTGTAAAGAGTTTCTACCCAAGACCCTTCAGTTCTCTCTTAGCACCTGGAGCAGCTATCTGGGCCTGAGGTTAGCTGAACATGATGGAATCTTGACCAGGACTGCGCTCTCAACTGTTTTAACCAGGGACTTATGACTCCGTAATGATTCTATGCATTGTGGAATCCTTCCCCTCTGATCCCTGCGCTGGGATCCTGAGCTGAGATCGTCCTTAGGGAAAGGCCTGGGCCGCCTCCTCTGGTAGGACCCGCGAACAAGGCATGTCCTGGGCTACATGAAGTCCTCGCTCCTCCCTGCCATCTCTTGAACACTAACAAAAATAATTGATAGGGAGGCTTTTGCTCTGGACTCCAAGTGGCGAATCATGTCAGTATACAGAGTCCAATTCTCAAAATAAATACAGACATTCTTGGGTAAGACCCTTGATGGCATGTTCTTGTTTGTGGAAATAAAGACCAAATGCTGGATCATCTGGTTAAAAACTATACCTGGCAGACCTGTTCTTAGATCAGAACTTCTTCCAGGGACTCTCTCCCCCTTAGCCCCTCAGCCTCTGAAAAGCTTTGTCTCCCAACCCACCAGGGAAGCTTCTTTTCACATAAAAAAAAAATCACCAAAATAAACTTTCCACACCACGGGACGGTTTTTACATTCCCTAACAGCTTATCGTTTCAGGTTGAAATCCTTGTAATCAGATATTCCGTTTATTTCCCCTGGTGTCCTGAGCCAGGGCTCAGGTTCTCACTTCCCCGTCCTAGGAATGTCTTTCAGGCACTTCCGTGATCTGCTTGTCCGAACACTCACTTCCGCCCTCCAAGACACAGTCCACCCACTGCTTGCAGTTTCAGAGCATCATTTATGTTCCTGCTTCCAGCTATCAAGGGTAAAGAAATACTAAAATTCAATCTCAGAGAACACTGTTATCTAATCAAGAAATTTTAACTAGTGTTTGTATTTGAAAAAATAATATGAACACAGGAAAAGAAATTCCAACAGTACAAAAAAAGTATTGAGACGTGTCCCTCCCACTTAAGACCTAAAGCCTCCATTCCCCTCCAGAGAGACAACCACTGTCCACAGTATCTTACATGTCTTTCCAGATATTACATATCTATGAACTTATATGATAAATACATGTCCTCTTTATCACATATGGGAGCACACTATACACATTTCTGTCCTTGTTTCCACCCTCCACCCCAGCCCTCACCTCCCTGCTAAATTTATTTGGAGATCATTCAATTTCAGGATATATTAAGTTTGACTAGGGTGGGTGTTTTTTTTTTTCTCATGCAGTAGTTAATTTTGTTTTTAAATGGAGGTAACATTAAATTCAGTGACTAGCATTGCTTCTTAAGTGTGCAATTCAATAATTTAGACAACTGTATACATCGTGTCAGCAACACTCCACTTCCGTCTTCTTTCCCCCTGAAAGTTCTCCTGCCCCTTCAGTCATCTCTACCTTCCCTAGGCGCCGCTGTTTCGATTTCCGTCACCATAGGTTAGTTTTGCCTGTTACACTTTTTATAAATGGAATTCTACAGTACATAGTCTTTTGTGTCTGATTTATTTTGCTCCACACAATGCTTTAAAAATACATTCCTGTTGTGTGTATCCATTCATTCCTTTTATTATTGTTGCTAAGGAGTGTTCCATTGTATGAATATGCCACCATTTGTTTATTCTCCTTTGACAGATATTTGGGTTGTTCCAGTTTGGGGCTATTATGAATAAAAGCTGTTATAAAATTCTCTTTTTTGTGGACCTATGTTTTCATTTCTCTTGAATGTATGCCTAGGAGTCAGCCTCAGTCTTTTTAAGAGCTGCATGGCATTTCACTGTAAGTATATGCCACATAATAAGCAAGTTCCCTATTGATGGGCATTTGGGTTGTTTTCAGTCTTTTGCTAATGCTGTACTAAACACGCCTGTACTTACATCTTTGCACAAAGATGTAATTCAATAATTTAAACAACCTATGTGACGAGAATACTTTCTTGGAATGGCATGCTGGATCAGGGATGTGTGCATTTAAATATGGAACAGATATTGCCAAATTGCTTTCCAAGGAGGCAGTGCCAATATACAGTCTCAAGGACTGTGCATGAGATCTCACTCTCACTCACCCGTAGCAACTCTGCATCATCAAGCTTCTTCTTAATCTTTGCTAATCTGATAGTTGAAAAATGCTATCTCACAATTTTCATTTTTATTAAACTGCAAGGAACATTGAACACCTCTCCACGTTTTTTCTTTGATTGAGGAACTGGGGAAGGGGAACAGCGTTGGGGAATTGGGGAAGGGGAACAACCAAGCTGTTGTCCTTCAGTCTTAGTTGTGGAGGGCGCAGCTAGCTCAGCTCCAAGTCCAGTTGCCTTCCGGCCACCAGTCAGCAGCTCGCGGCTGCTCAGCTCAAGGTGCCGTGTTCAATCTTAGTTGCGGGTGGGCGTAGCCACCATCCCACGCGGGAGTCGAACTGGCACCCTTGTTGTTAGGAGCACGCGCTCTCACCTGTTGGGAGCTCAGCAGCAGCTCAGCTCGGGCGCAGCTCACTGGCCCATGCGGGAATCGAACCGGCGACCTGTTGCTCAGAGCTCGCGCTCTTAGCTGAGCCACTCGGCCCGCCCTCCCCACATATTTATAATCCACTTGCTTATCTTTTTTTGGTAAACTTCCTTTTTCTCACTTTTTTGAGTTTGTTTAAAGGCCTTTTCTTATTTGTTTGTACTAACTCTTTGTATATTAAGGAAATTAGTCATTCGTCATAGGAATATTTATAGTGTATGTTAAGATCTGGTGTAGCTGGTGACTGTTTATTCTTTTAAATATTTTCCCCTAGCTATTCTCACATATTTTTTCCATAAGAATTTCTGAATCAGCTTCTCTAGTTTCAAGAAAAACTGGTTGGCATTTACCTCTCTGGCTATCTCTCCTACTACTGTTTCCCTCCCTCCAGGATTTCTTGCCCTCAACACTACTGGCAATTGCACCAAATAATTCTTTGTTGTAGGGAGCTGTTTGTGGCACTGTAGGATATTCAGCAGCATCTTGTGTTCTATTCACCAGATGCCAATAGCAACACTGCATCCCCCCACCCCCAGTTGTGACAACGAAAGATGTCTCTAGGCATTGCCAATTGTCTGAAAAACCACTGACTGACTCTCATTTAGTGACACTGCTGCCTTAATGTTCCTATAACATGCAAAGGACACTCCTGCTCCCTCATCTCCTTTAAATCTCTGCTCCAATGTTACTTCTCAGTCTGTTTTAAACTATAAACCTCCCACCCATCCCCCACTGTCTATACTGTCCCTGATTTTTCTCTATTGCACCTTTCATCTTCTAATATACTATGTAGTGTACTCCTTTAGTTCTTTATTTTGTTTGTCTCTCCTCCATCTTTAAGAGTATAAGTCCAACGAGGGCAGGGATTTTTATCTGTTTTGTTCACTCTTGTATCCCCTGTGCTTGGAACATAACCTGGTACATAGTAGGTGCTCAATAAATATTGAATGAATGAATCAGAATGGATTTGTAGATTGGGTTAGGTGACATGACATTTTTACAATATTTATCTATACAATAAAATGTTTCTCCTTATATTAAAGCTTTCTTTTATGTCTTCCTGTAATGTTTTAAAATTTCTTACAAATAAGAAACTCTAAATTTTTTTTTTTTGTAGTAAACATTTGCCCAGCCTGTTTTTCACTTTTCCTATAAGTGGACTTGGGAAATGAAACTGCCTGACTCACAGGGCTGGGGAATGGGCTGCCAGCAGGGTGCCAGGCCCCAGTAACTTCCCTGGTAGGGTGACTCTGGGGCCTGCGGTGATGCCTGGAGGCCCCCTGCTCCCCATCACCCAGCCCAAAGCTCTCTCTCAGTCTCCTGGGAGGCTCTTTGCCTTGGCTGATGGTGCTTCCTAGGCATCCATCCCCACCCTTCTCCCTGAGGACAGTCCCACTGTGTGAGGCCTCTGCAGAGAACCACATGTTCATCTATGAGCTCTCTTGTGGGACAGGTGACACAGGCTGTGGATGACCTTCCGTTTCATGGCCAGCTCCCTAGCCTGATGGGAGGGGCCTGTGCCAGGGGACCGTCTGTTCAGTGGAGTAGGGTGTTGGATGAGAGACCTTTCCTTGGCAGGGTTTGAGAAGACAGAGAATGAGGGGCCTTCCATGCCTCCATTTCCTCGTGGGTGGGCCCCTGTTCCCCACCTGGCACTGTACTCCTGTCCAGGCCTGAATGGTGGGAGTGGTGGGGAGACCCGAGGCACAGCCTGGCTCTGGGCCCTCCTCTCTGGGTGTGGCCCCTTGCCTGTGACACGGGCACAATAACCCTCCTGAGGTTCTGAGAACTCTGGGCTAGGCACACATTGGGCACTTCGTGAAAGGGGGCTGCTCTTATGTCATCAGCCATGGATCTGCGCCCCGGGATCTCCTTTTCGGCAGTATCTGTGAAGATGGCTGTCAGGACCACAGAGCCCCAGATCCACCCCAAGGTCACCCTGACCGTGCCCTAGGAAACCTCCGGATGGGTCTGAAATGGTCATCTAGTGCCACCCAGGGAAGGAATAAGACTGAACTCCAAAAAGATTATGGGGTCCTCTCCTCTTGCGTAAGGCAACAAAAAATAAGATACGCCTGTGAGGCGAGACCACAGGCACTGACTGTGTTGTGCAAAGTGCTGTGTCGTGTCCTGCCTTCCACTCTGCCTGGGATGTCTGTGGGGGTCTCCCAGAGGCCCTGCTCAGAGCCCAGAGCTGGGAGACCTGGAAGGCAGGTCTCAGAGGCTTGGCTCGCAGGCCCTGCAGCTTACAGAGAGGCTGGGAGGCAGGCCCCTCGGGGGCTGCGGCAGTGTCCCGTGGTTCGCCACTTCACATTTATAGCTACAGGGCTTCTCAGTTTACTGTCCCTGCGGTGGGAGGCCTGGCTCTCTGGAAACCGCAGCTGTGGTTAGTTGGGTGCCTGCCTGAGTGCTGAGCTGTGAGGGAGGCTCAGAAGTTTCCCAGGACGCTGAGGCCCAGCCCTACCTCGGGCTTGCCCTGGTCTCTTCCTAGAATCTGGTTCCAGCCTGGAGGGAGCTGCCAGGATGTGGAGGGTCCCTTGGCGCCCCTCCGCCAGTTGGCCTTGCCAGACAGAGGGTGCTCATTTAGGCCCCAGTGGACTCTGGGACAAGGGGGCTGATGGAGGAGGGAAGGGTGAACCATGAAACTAGAGAAGGGGCTCGCTAACCAGGGCTGGGTTGCCTGGAGCTTGATACTTGGTGAGCACACAGGGAGTATGGAGCTGCCACTCTCCACTCCGAATTCCTTACCCTGCGGGATTTCACACATAGTCCCACTGCCAGAGTGGCGGGCCCTGTGCTTTCCCTGCCCCGTGGTGTGACTCTCAGCAGACAGTGCAGCAGGTGTGTCTCCATTTAGCCAGGGAGGGCAGTGAGGCTGGGCGCGGGTAGGGAGGTAGATGAGTTGTCTAAATGCTGGCAGCAGTGGTGGAGCCAGGACTAGGACCACGAGCCTGACTCCAAAGCCCCATTCTGTTCATGGCACCATGTGGACCCCAAGTTTTGTCTGAACTAGGGAGTGGGGTCCTGCTGGCTTGACAGAGACCTGGGAGGAGCAGGGCCTGGCTCCTGTGCACCCAGCGCCAATCTGCCCTGCTTTGGCTCAGCTGAGGGGCCACCCAGTCACTGAATGGCTCCCTGCCCTGCCTTCCCCAACCTGGGCCCAAAGACCCTGACTCTGACCTGCTCTTTGGAGACTCTGGGATTAGAAGGCAGGTCAGGGAGGGAGCGAGGGAGGGAATCTGGGGCCAGGCATGAGACAGGCCTCTGGGGCATCTGGAAGCTCATACCCTGCAATCAAGGGAAACCCCAGAGAGCAAACAGACCCGGGGGTGTGCGCAGGTAGGGCCATGATTGCCGGGTGGGGCGTGGAGGGGACCTGTGGGAGGGCAGGGCCCACCTTGGGGAGGTGAGGTGGGAGGGCAGCTACCTAAAAATGGAGCTGATTTTCATATAAATAGAACACCTATTGGGTGTGCTTCTTTTTTAAAATTAGGATTTATTTCAGTGTTCCCTTCCTGAGCAAACACTCCTGGCATGCCAGCCTGTGGTGGTTTCAGCTTAGTGACCAGGGCAGCTGGCTGCCTCTGAGCAAGGGTGCCCTTGGTCTGGGTTTCTAAGCAAAGAGGAATTCAGTTCTACATTTACTGACTGCTGCTGGATGCTTGGTCTGCGCTGACAGATGGGGTCACAGGGAAGAATAGGGTCCTATCCACCCACCCTCAAGGGTGTAAACAATCCTCTTCCAGACTGTATAGGAGAGGACAGGGTTAACTCAGTTTGGGTCAATGAGGAAAGGTGTCCCAGGATCTATTGTCAGCTGAGTTTTGAAGGATGAATACAGGTGTTTCGGAGTCTCCTTTTTTCTTGGAATAAACAGTTAAGGACCCAAGCGCCAGATGTCAAACTATCAATAGTAACAGAGACAGGACATAGGCCCTGAGAAGTCTAGTAGGAGAGTCATGTGAATGGTGACAACAATGTCTTAAATGTTAAAATAGAAGTGTGTGCAAGATGCATCAGAGGCCAGAGGAGGGGACCATGCATTCTCTGTGGGGACGAGAGCAGGGGTCTGCGCAGGGAGCTGGCTGGTTTGTCCCGGGGAGGAGAAGCAGTGGAGTTATGCCAAGAGATGGGTACTGGGATTGGGCTTTCAGAGGCCCGAGTGCTTAGCAAGCTACCCAGGGGCGTTAGCCCACCAAGCAACAGCCAGGAGTGGGACTGGTGGAGGCCAGTGGTCTATAGGTGAGCTGTGTGTCTTGGGGACCTTTGGACAAGTGGGTTCCAGCTCCCGCTCCTTCACGTATGAGCTGGATGGCCTTCCACCCCATATTTCACCTCTCCAAGCTCCACCGGCTCATGCCTGAAGTGGAAATCCTGATAACACGAGTCACACCTACTTGGCAGTGAGTAAATGAGAGGATGCCTGCGAAGGGTCTCCTGCAGTTTATCAATAAATGGGAGGTGTTCTATCTCCCCTGTGGGGCTATCAGGAGGCAGGACTCGGTGTGGGAGACCCACGTGGAGGAAGGGGTGTGGCGCTGCAGATCTGTAGCAGGGACCCAATCCCATCTTGCTCTGGCGGGGGATCTTTGTGGGATTGAGAGGTGGTGTTCTCTGGTGGGTCCCAGAACAAGGAGGGGTGCGGCCCACGGTCCATGGGGGAAAGCGGGGGCAGGGGCTACATTGGCCCAGGCCTGGTCAGTCACGGGGGGCCATCTGTGCAAGCCTGGCTCCTTCATGCTCCTTTGTCTCTTTCTCCTCTTTCCTGGATGAGGCCCCTTTGGGCAATGTCAGCCTGTCTGTGACAACTACGCCCAATAGCCAGGGCTTTGGGGCTATCTGATCCCAGGACGCCGGTTAGTTGGGGAGAGCAGCATGCATGCATCTTCCAGAGTGCAGAGGTTCTGAGCTGGGCCTGATGGAGGGAGGCTGTCCTGCTCCAAGGATGGTGCTCCCCTCAGCTCTCCAGGCCCCCGGCTCAGGCCCCCGGCTCAGGAGGGCAAAGCAGTCGTATCCTAATTGCTCCCAAGCATTGGTGGTCTTCTTAAAAGACCAGTGCTGACTTGGTCTTCATGCAGGCTGCCCTGGGAGGGGCTCCAACAAGACGGGCCTTGTGAAAGGCCCGTTACCTGCTAGTGCTCGGCATCCAAAATAGAATCTTGAGCAGCGGCAAGGCCTTTAATTCCATGTGTCCCAACAGCAGGTCGGTGTAGGGATAACTATGATCTGACCGATCTTCAGCTATAATTACGGAGTCAGAATAAAAAATTACAGGCATTGTGTGGGCTTGTTTTAAATATAACGTAATCCATACTGTCCTCTCTCTTATTTGCTGGATTTGAGGTGGAGTCTTTGGCAGTTGGCAAGAGTTTTGCCTGACGTGTAGCAGATAAAAATGACCCTTGCCCAGGGAAAAGGACATGGTGGGAGGCCTCCCCAGGCCTCTTGTGTTCCTGGCTGCCCGCAGCCCACAGCCCACAACCAAACACACTCATGCGTCTGTGCAGTCCCCTTCGTTTTGCACATTATCTGCATGTTGCATCTCCCTGACTGGCCTCCCTGTCTCCAGCTGCCCCCTGCCTCCAGTCCACCAGAAACATCTTTGTATAAACACAGTCTTGGTGCTTAAGGACCCATTAATGGTGCCCCCCTATAACAGGTAAATCCAAACTCAAAGTTCCTTCATGCCGGGCCCCCAGACGACCTTTCGGTATCATATCTGGGACCAGCAGCCCAGCATAGTACAGAGGTGAAGTCCGACTGTGTGCGATCAAACTCAGGCTCCACATCCTATGAGCTGAGTGTGTCTGGGCAGGTTACCCCACCTGTGTGCTTTAGCTCCTCCATTGCTGCTGTAGGTTGTTGTGAGGATGGAATGAGGTGGCACACTCCTAGAGTGACCCCAGGCATGTCCCTTTTCCTCACCAAGGCTCAGTTTACCTATTAGAAGAAAGCAATAGACTTATTGCCTTTCAAATCAGTAGATCTTTTTTAAAAATAATATATTCTTGGCGTAGTTGTGTGTGGTAAGGTGGGCATGCATTTGTTCAACCTTCTGGAAAGCAAAACAGAAATACATATGCAAAGTCTTAAAACATACTTATACCCTATGAGTAGGAACCTAACCCAAGGAAAAAAAATCAAATTATGCACAAAGATTTATATTTATTTATTTATTTATTTTTTTAGCTGAGCCATCCTGCTACCTATTGGCAGCTTAGCGGCTGCTCAGCTCGGGCTGGCCTCGAACCGCTGTTGCTCAGAGCTCAAACTCTTGAGCGAGCTCTTAACCAACTGAGCCATTCGGCCGGCCCCAAAGATTTATATTTAAAAGATATTTACTTTAGTGTGTTTTTATGCTTTTGAATAACTGAAAACGTAAATGCCCAACATTTGGGGAGCAGGAAATATTTACAGTGTGCCCATTCAAAACACTCGTATGTAGCCATTAAAGGGGATTATGAAGAACATTTCATTATGTTGAAAATGCTTACAATCTAATTTGAAGTGAATAAAGCAGATACAAAATTACATATACTGCATGATCTCAGGGCTAATAAAAATACACACATCTGTAGGAAAACGGTTGAGATGGAAATGTAACAGCAGTTATCTTTGGTGAATTTACAGGATTATATTTTCTTCTTTACTGTTTTCTGTGTTTTCCAAATATTTTCGAATGGGCATGCACCACTTATAGAACAATAATTTTTAAAAGAGCTGAGTGTTAAAAATGGTAAATAAAACGAGAGGGTAGAACTTGATGTCTGAGTTCTCATCTGGCTTTTAACCATTGCTGACTGTAACGTGCTCGGACTGTTCACAGGGTCTGAGAGGCAACAGCAGAAACCCACATTCTCAAGACCTGCCTGCCTCAGTGATGAGCAGCAGCAGGTCCAGGGTCTGGAGCAGTTCACCAACCATGGGGCTCCCAAGTGCATCTGCACAGGCTCCCCTGGAGGTCAGCTGCCTTTCTGAAGTCTTCCTGAAATTTCCCAAGTGCTCAAGAACCTTCAATGCCTTCCAACCTGCCACAGGAAGGGAGGCAGTGCACCCAGTCCCTGCCACACCACGGAGTGCTGGTGTGCACCTACCCATCTGGGTCAAGTGTGTTTTCCGCCTGAGAAAGAAGCTCTTTCTGCCACTCTAGGCAAGGGGCTGGTTGGAGCAGGAAGGACAGGCTGAGTGGCTGCCATTGCTGTGGGCCCCTCTGCTGTCTACTCATCTGGACTTTGAGTGCACTGGCTCTGTCAGACCATAGGTCCCCAATTGCCAGGACATGCAGGTCCCTCTGGCAAGTCCATTTGTCCTGAGGGTGGAGAGCCTGGAATGCTTCATTGGAGGTCACTGGGTCACTTCCAGCCACTTCTCAGGAGGTCAGCCCAGATGAGGCCACCTGGGGAGATGAAAGGGGCTCCCGATGAGCCAGCCCCCTGTGGAAGTAAGGACCCTGTCTGAGCTTAGCCGGGGAGGGAGGCCTTACAGGCCAGTGACCAGAGTGTCTGGGTGTAGCCGGCAACTTGTTCGGGCCTGTCCAGGACCTCCATGAACCAGCCATGTGCCTGCCCACTTAGAAACCAGAGAAAGACAGGAATCAGAAGTTGAAAGACCAAGGCAGCCAGACAGACTTACAGAGAGAGCAAGGATGACAGACAGCAAGAGGCACAGAGACAGAGACCCAGTGCTACACTGCAGGGAGACAGACCATCATCAGGCGTGAACGCCAAGGAGGAGGCCAACACCTAGAACACGCTCCTCTTGGCTGTAATCAGGAAAATGCACATTAGAGAGGCCTGACGTGCCACTTTACACCTACTAAATTAGCACACATTAACAAAATGATAACATGTGCTGCTGCTGAGGTTATGGTAAAACCAGCTTAAACACACTGCCAGCAGCCCTGGAAATTAGCACAGCGTTTTAGGGAAGAAATTGGGCAATACAGCCCCAGAGCTATTAAAACATTCGTCTCTTTCTACCTGGTAATCCCACTCCTGGGAAAGGAGAAATAATTCAACAGAAAAATGACAGGTTTGTACACAAAAGGTGATGAGTGCAGTGCCTAGCTGTTGGGTCCAACATGCTACAATATGGCACAGTGAATATTTTTTTAAATAGGGAATATGAAGACTAAATAATAACATTTAAGGAGCCTTATGACATGCACAAATAAGCAGAAAAGAAACTGTCCAAAAATTAATAATGATATAAAACAGCCGCCTGGATGCCCGACCAGCCCCACCCTCGTGGGTGAACAGTGATTCTTGCCTCCCGCTGGCCAGACAGACAAGTCTGTCTTCCCGGGGGACCTGCCCTGACGCTCCCTGTCTGGAGCTCTCTAACCAAGAAGCCTAATCCGCAGACCTCAGACTGGTGGGGAGACAGTCTCAGCCAGGCCTTCCCACCTGGCCAGCTCACACTGGTGGTCCCAGGGGATCTGGATAATGCCGGCTGTGTCACTGCCATGTGCCACGCCTCAAGGAGCCAAACCAGAACAGATATGGTGGAATTGGGTTCTCATTTAAGAAAAGGGATAAGGTGATTTTTCTGACTCTGGAGTCTTGCTGTTTGCAAGCACAGCAATCTGTTTAATCCAGTTTAGGTCTGGACTCCCATCTGAAGCATCTCGGGATGAAGGCAATTTAGAATAGACTGAAGGGAAAGGAGGAATCCTGGGGTCGCCCGCCTGGCTTGCCCCAGCAGGAGGCACTGATTCGATTCTGAGCTTGAATCTTCCGGTTCTGTCTTCCCCTAACTCCTAGTGGCCATCCCCAAAGCCGGCAATGAGTGAGAACCCATAAATCGTGGGTGAATGAAAAGGAGAAGGGGAAAGACCACTAGCACAGGAATGAGCACGTGTCACCAAACAATTCTGTCTTTATTCAAAGCCGGTCTGGCTTTCCAAATGTGCCCTCGGTGGTGCTCCAGGTAAGCTACGTCCCCGTTTCTGCCCTGCTTACTGCCAGGGGATGCCCTGCCTTACAGAGGTCGAGAACATTCACTGACCATGCCTGTGTCCAGACAAGCCTGATCTTGTTCACTCGGTCCATGCGGAGTTACTGAACACAAAGGGGCTTTATCACAGTCTCTGCCCTTGCTGTGCTTTCAGTCTCATGGGAGAGACATGAGTAAACAAGGAAGAATATTCTAGAAGCAATCACGGGGGTGCTGTGAAAAGGGGTTTCAGTGCTAGGAATGAGAACACCCAGGAAGTGGGCTCAGGGTGGGGTGGAGGTGGAAACGGAGCACAGCCCTGGGGCCAGGCAGGATTTTACCTGTCAGAAGGCACATCAGAGGGCCAGAGGCAAGTGCAAGCGTCCACCTTGGTCTCCCCCAGCTTCTCGCCCGCGAGCCTGCCAATGGCCTTGGCTCAGTGCCAGCCAATCTTGCCCAGACTGATGTGGAGGCTGTAGTGGCAGCCTCAATCTGAGTTCAAACTGCTGAGGTCCTGAACTTCATCTTGATCACTCATTCATGCGTTCCTTCATTCACTTGTACCACAAACACTGCACACCTGCTCTGTGCTAGATACGATTATAGGATTTTGGGGATGTAGTGACAAATCAAGGTCCTTGCCCTTCCAGTGGGAAAAACAGACAATAAAAAACAGGCAACAAATAAAATAAATTCACACTAGAGAAATATAAAATAAGGGTTAGGGGATAAGAGTGATGAAGGTGGGGGAGGAAAAAGGGGGCATTTAATCAGTAAAATCAATATCTGATTTAACACCTAAATGATGTGAAGAGGCAAACTATTAAAAACTCTGGGGAAGGGCATTCTAGGCATCATACATGGGAAGTGCAAAGGCCCTGAGGCAGGAACAAACGTGGTATATTTAAAGATTAGCATGAAGGCCTGCAAGGCGGAAAAGGAGTCAGGGGTGGGGAAGGGGTGGTAGGAGATGAGAGCAGAGAGGCAGCAGGAAGCCAGGCCTGGTCATGATGCTGGCTCCTGGGCTCCAGGGAATTACAGCATCTTGCATCACAGACAGGCTCCTGCCTTGAGTTAAAGGTCTCAGGACTGGATCTAGGCCCTGCACACTAACATGCTTGACTGGGTGCTGGTACCTACCATACCCTCATCCAGAAGTGCCCTCTGACGAGGACAATGGGCAAGTGACACCTGGTGTGCCATCCTTACCTAAGGCCAGACCCCACAGCTTCTTTGGTTTCACCCATTCCCATTCCTCTGTGCTCCTCCTCCTGTTCTTCCGGGGAGTGGTGCTGTGGAGTCCCAGCACACCTTGAAAGTATCACAAGAAGTGTGCTGTTCGGGAGTGGGCACAGCAGGATGTGGCTGGAGCAGAGTGCCCGGAGGGACCTGTGGCACTGAGAGAACTGAAAGCCAGGGGAGGCATAGTGGAGGGAGGTGCAGAAGCACGGGGAATGCTTGAGGAAGGGAGAGCGTGACATGTTTGAGAAACGTAACACTGGTGGCATTTTGGAGATGGATCAGAAGGGAGGAAAGGAGGCCGGACAGAGAGATAGCAAGACTCTGAACTAGGGCAATGCCCATGAGCTGGTTGCAAGAGACCAAGCAGATAGACCCACTGGACAGACTTGTATGGGGATGGGGATGGTAATTGTGAGACAGAAGTCAAAGCTAAAGGCGATTTCTACCAGGCAAGTGGGCACACAGCATTTCCCTGAGGAATGGCAGGTGGAAGTATGAGGGAAGATGACCAAAGTTATGGTGGGGAGGAGGGGCCAGGAGGCAGATGGGCCAGTTTTGGACACTTTGAATAGATGTTGAATCTAGGCCATCAAAGAAAAGGTGTCCAGGCCATGAAGGTCCGGTGCTCAGGAGAGCGGTCTGGGTGGGAGGGACGGCAGCATGCAGGAAGCAGTTGGCACTGTGAGTGCTGGGGTAGGGTATGCAAAACGAGAAAGGAAGGCTGGGGAAAGAATTCTGGGGCCCACTGACATTTGCAGGGTTTGGAGTAGTGGGGGGCAGGACATAGTGAAAGGAGGCTGGGCCAGAGTGTGCAGGCTCACGGACCACCCACGGAGGAAAAATTTTGAGGAGAGGATGGTTCCCCGTGTCAAATGCTACAGAAGGGTCAGGGAGGATGGGGACTGAGAAGGCACCGGGAATAGCAGGAAGACACACCGGGGACAGACTTGGTGCAGCTAGACTGCAAGGCTAGGCAAAGACAATCAGGATGGGCAAGTTTAGGCAGTGAGTGCAGACAGCTCTTTGAGGAAGCCTAGGAGAGAATAAAACATGAGCACAGTTTAGGGATGGTGTGGGGTGAGGAAAAGGGAGACCAGTGTGGAAATAGGGAAGATGAAACATTCTGTTGAGTTAGGCAAGGGAGCAGGGTTTCTTTCCTCTTCTCCCCGCCCCGCTCAAACCTCAGGCTTCCTGGGACCTTCCTGGCCCTCCTGTCCAATAGGCATCTCTTCCCAAGTGGTTGTCCGGCCTCCATCTGTCCTTTCTCAGGGCGACAGTGACCACCACCGCTGTGGCAGGCAGGCAGCCTAGTCCATGATGGGACTAGCTCAGCTATTAGAAAAGCTTTCCCTGGAGATAACGACACAAATGTGGCAGTGCTGGGATTTCAATGGGGCTGGGCTTCCTATGTTTGTCTGTAGAACTTATAATACATTTCAAAAATTGTTCCTTGTATTGATTCCAAATGCATCTTCTTGTAGCCTTTTACCCTCTGATTCCACTTCTGCCTTTGAGGCTTCCTCTGACAAAGACAGCCCTTCAGATAGCAGAAGGAAGCAGTGCCCACCTTATCTTCCTGGCTTGGGCTTGAATGTCCCCCGCTCTTCCGATGGTCTCCAGGATTTCTGCTAAACACACTGTACCTTCACTATCCTTTGAAATAGATACACTACTGGGGTAACAGATATCTATTCCTCTTGCACCAGCAGAAGCTAGTGGTTAAGAGCACAAGCGGTTAAGAGCCAGCCTGGGTTTGCATCCTGGCTCTACTTCTTTCAAGCTGGTACCCTGGGTAAGTCACTTAACTTTTCTCTGCCCCCGGGTCCTCACCTACCATCTAGCTGTGAGGGAAGCACGCGTTAGAAAGTAGAGAGTGCTTCGAGCAGTGTCAAGGGGACAGTGAGTGCTCAATGCATGTTCACTGCTCTCAGATATCAAAGCTCCTCTTGGAAGGGACTATGAAACACAAGAGCCCTCCCTAAACCAACGTGGGCAAGTCACCTGAAGACACTTTGATTTTCCAAGGTGAACAAGAGAGCTCAATCCTGAATCACAGGCTCTTGGTCTGAGAAAAAACAAGACACCTGAAGCATCCCCAGGGTGTTTGGAAAAGTCCAGAGGCAGGAATCCAATCTGGGGATGGAGAATGGAAAGTGGCTGCAGTAAAGCCATCTGGGGAGTGCCTCTCACTGAAGCTATCACTCCTGCAGGCCAAGGAGCCGGATTTTCTGTTAACAACTGTCACCTCAGGCCTGGCCTCAGGCCTGTCCTGCTTGGCACTCTCCCTGGGTTTCTGCTCATTCAAGGATCAGCTTTTGCTGCTGTGCAGGGATTGTCTGACCCCTGCTGTCCACTCTCTGTCATAGCACAAACTTAAAGATGTTCACTCACTCCGGGGGCCATGTAGTGGGAAGACTTCAGCTGTACACCCTTTTTCCAACTTTTTGGACAGTGACTCCAGATACTAATATATCTCACACTGTGACCATACACAAAGGTTTCACAAAGCCAGTCTTACCTTTCTGTGTATGAGCACTCCGATATAGCCTATATTTTTCTATTTTCATTCATAAGAAAAATGCTGATTGCAATCCACTTAATTGATGTCATAGCCCCAGGTTTTCTCCTGGAGTTCACAAAACATTAATTTAATTTACTAAATTAGTCCCCTAGTTTTCCAAACTTCAGTCAGTGTGTACCATACCACTTTCAAACCTTAGGCCACGTTAAAGATCAATTTTTAATTTTTTTCTTTAAATCAACTCACACATTTTAAAATACCCACTATAGCCTAAGTGAAATATTGTGAAATTAAAAATTTGAGGGCTAGCTGTATTTTTTCCCAATACATACTGGATAAATATTTAACTATCAAAATAAATTTCCACACCTCCTAAAATCATCCTGTACAGCACTGTCTGCACTCCTTACTTTGGGAATCGCGTATCTAGAGATTAGTTCAAACATCTCATTCCACAGTGGGGGCAGTGAGGCCCCAGAGATGGGAATTCACTTATCTAAGGTCTAATTTTTCAGTCCCGGGGAAGAAATGTGTTGTCTTGTCATAGGAGGGGAAAAAGGAAACAAAGGAAGTCTATCTCTAGGCTGCCCCTGGCCAAATGATGTGCTAAGTCTATCAGTCTTAGCCACATTTGGAGGGAAGCCCACCCCAAAATCTCACCAGAGCCTGGATATCAGTTTATAGTTATCTTAGCCGAGCCATTTTAAGACCTTTTTAGATTTTAGACATCCTTATTTTTGGAGATCCTGAACCATATCATACTATGAATATTGCAATTTGTCTACATTGATACTAATTTCAATTTTGTTTTTTGCTTTTTGTATTTTGAAGCCTTCAACCATTTTTGTAGGCCTTTAAAAAGTTCACAGGCCCTACGTTTATAGCCCGTTGTGCCTAATGGATGAAGTGGCCTTGGATCTGGTAAAGGAATCTGATCAATGAAGACACACTGAAGAGCAATTTCATTACACAAACACTCTTTCCTGGGGGGATGTGTTAGGCCACTGACAACTAAACGCAAGTGTTTCCAGGGCTCAAATCCTTGCTATCCCGGGTAGACTGGTGGCGACAGTGCCATTCAGGTACTGTGTGACTGACAAGGTGTTCTCATTCTGGGCCTCAGTTTCTGCATGAAGTAAAACAAAGGGAGGAGACCAGCTTGATGATTTCCAAAGATTTTATGTTAGCATTGGGGCCCTTTTACAAGTGAAATCTCACTATCAGGCAATAAGCAGATCTCTCTCTGATGGACAAAGCTCTGATCAGCCCTCTGAATCGAACAAATATGAAGGTAAGTTTGTGAAGACATCCAGGGGAATCCCCCCTAGGTGTTTGTAAGGATAGAGAGGTTTCCTGCAGAGAAGGGCAGGTTTTGTGACCTCTGAAATTCCCAAGGCCTTGATCAGGTCTCAGCTCTAAAGAACAGCACAGCATTTTCCAAACCTCTTTGACAGTGGTGCACGGCAAAAACACACACAAAATAATAAAGTTTACATCAAGACAGAGTACGTATGTATTGAAACACAGTGTTCATGAAACACACCTTTATACTGTAAAAGAAAATACTGTCCCATACTTGGCCTGGGTAAGGGATGTTTAGAGAATATAATCCACAAACCTCTTTTTGGGAATCAACTATATTTCTGATAATGCTTAAGCAATTTCTGATGAATTGTAATGGGACTAAGACCTCTGTGAACCCAGTTGTCTAGGAACTCAGCTAATGTCAACTTTGGGGTGGGGGGGGGCAGTATGACCCAACAGCTCTCAGCTGTCTTTCAATAAATCTAATAATCCTTAACCAGCACTTTTTTTCTTGTACCCAGTCTAACAAAGGTTATCTACGCATTCTGTTTTCCTATTCAATATCCTTACTAACAGATACTTGACTTGTCCAGATAGAAGTCTACTCCCTTGCTGTGAGATTGTAATGAAAACTTTGACAGTGGGTTGTAACTAAATGGCCTGAAGCTTTTCCCCTCCTTTCCTCCATCCATTCCTTAATGGTGTGTTGCACTCCAATGTTTTCTGTTCTGTTCTTTTATTTTAAAAAAAAGCTTACTGTGACTCACTACATGGATTTCATCAGCCTTTAATGGTTTTGACTGGAAGTTTAAGAACCTAATATACCTTTAATTAGAATCCATGAGAATAATGTGGCAGAAAAAATATTTCAAGAAAAAAGAGCCAAACTATTTTTAAACTTCATAAAAACTGTAAAACCACAGAATCAAAAAACACAATGAACCCCAAGTACAAGAAACATGAGGAAAACTACACAAAGGCACATCATAATCCAATTGCTTAAAACTAATGATAAAGAAGACATGAAAAGTCATAAAGTCTTTGTACAGAGAAACAAAGATTAGTAGGATAGAGCAAGATTTCTTGTTGGAAATAATGCAAGCCAGAAGGCAGTGAAATAACACTCTTAAAGTACTGGAAGAAAAAGAAAATAAGAATCTTTACCCAGAAAAAATATATATCAAAAAATGAGGGCAAAATCAAGACTTTATTGGACATACAAAAATTGAAAGAATTCATCACCAGCAAACCTGCACTAGAAGAAATGATGAAAGAAGTCCTTTAAGTAGAAGGAAAATGCTACCAGATGGAGGTCTGGATCTACACAAAGAAGTGAAGAGCACCAAAATGCTACCTATGTGAGTAAGCAGAGTTTTTAAAAGTTACTATTTAAATGGCTTTCAAAGCTAATCACCTGTTTAAAGCAAATATGCTGACAGTGTACTGTGGGATTTATAATATACATACAAGTAAAATGTATCACAATAATAGCAAAAAGGCCAGAAAAAATGCAAGTACACTGTTGTAAGGTTCTTACACTATACATTAAGCAGGATAACATCATGTGAAGGTAGAATATGATAAGTTAAAAATGTATTCTATAAATCCTAATGAGACTACTAATATAAAATGGAAGAGTAACAGCCAACAAAGATGAAATGAAATAATTAAAAATACTAAATACAAAAGGAAAAAGGAAAACAGGAGAACAATGACTAGAGAGAACAAATAGAAAACAAACAGCTAGATGGTAGATTGCAATCCAACCATATCAATAATTATAGAAAATATAAATTGTCAAACCATTCCTATATTAGCAGAAATTAAGTTGGATTAAAAAACCCCACCAAGATCCAACTGTATAATAAAATAGATCCATTTTAAATATAAAGATATAAATAGGTTGAAAGTAAAAGGGTAGAAAAGGGTGGATCATTCTAATAATAATCAAAAGAAAGCTGGAGCAGCTATGTTAATATCAAATGAAATAGATTTCACAGCAAAAAATATTACCAATGATAAAGAGGCCAATTTATCAAGCAGACATGATGATGATAAATGTTTATGCATCTATCAATACAGAGCTTCAATACAGAGGGTGCCAAAAAAATGTATACACGTTTTAAGAAAGGAAAAAACTGTATTAAAATTACACTGATGGTAACCACTTTGCGTACCTCTTGTAATTTCAGAAGTCAATCGTGACTCGTATTCCTCTTTTGTTATCAGTATATATTGAGTATTACAATTTTAATACAGTTTTTTCCTTTCTTAAAATGTGCATACATTTTTGGGGCACCTTCTGTAGTAATGAGATGTTTTTGGAGCCTCACAGGAATGAGAGTGCTCTGTACAATTGCATATGAATATTATTTCTTCCTTTTCTATTTTTAGTATTATCTACTATGCTCACTGTAAATTGAATTTAAGGAAACTATACCTACCTTTCTTTGGCTATTAAAAAAACAACAACCCATCCCGGGAGGCAGTAAATAGTGGTTGCAAGAACCACTGCTCTTGGCAAGTTACTTTTGGCTTCTATGGACTTCAGTTTTTCCATCTGTACCATGAAGATCAACTGTTTTGAAAAAAAAGTTTTTAAGCTGCGAATTCTCCAACTTAATAGCTTGTGGAACCCATATCAGCCTGCAGAACCCCATGGAGGCCGGGTATCCAGGGCTTGGGTACTTGTACTAGCCATACTGGGATCGGAGCAACAGCAAGAATGCAGGACCAGGAATCCTAGAAGATCTGCGTGAGGGCTTGAGCCAAATACCTCGCTGGTTGGGCTCTTAATTATCCCCACGGCTTGTGTAATCTGGGGAAAGAGTATTCCATTAACATCATTCTTCTTTTTCAAGTATTTTCAATACAACTGATAGCAAATATATATGATGAATTTTGTAAGCTGCCCTCAGCTTATATATAAAAGAATGGATTAATGAGGAAAATAACAGGTGCTGACTTATACTTATTTTCCAAACTAACCTCATTGGCAACAACAGAAGGCAAGCCACAGCTATTTCCTAGTTCAACAAATGCAAGGGATAGGTAGATGGAGCCACTAATGGCTTTCTTGGTTGGCAATGGAGGGACAGCATTGTTCTTTGGCCTTTATTGTCACATGCATGTAGCATTAGATACCATGTCACAGATACAACAGCACCCGTGCTCCTTTGGCGCTTCCAAGAGCAGACAGCGTGGGGAGGATGCTGACACACAGTGTGGGCAGCAGGCACTGGTAACATGCAGCAGGTACATTAAAACTTATGACAGGTACAAACTTCTTAAAAATACAGGATCATTTTAAAGCTGCAGGATCTGATGTATAAAACTGTGTATAGCAAATATCTTGTCACATCCTTTTCTTCATGTTTCTTGTCTTTTTTGACACTTTCTTGCTCTGTGTATTCCTTCTTGGATTTCAGTTTTGAAACAGGGATAAATGAAATTGGGATGAAGAAACCTAGGTAAAACCCTTCTTATGAAACAAGGATAACAAAAAGAAGCTACCAGAGGGCCGGCCGAGTGGCGCGATGGTTAAGAACCGGCTTGGGATGCCAGAGGGCCCCGGTTCGGATCCCACATATGAGGGCCAGTGACACTGCCCTCAACAGCTAAGATGCTGAAAACAGCTCGACCTGGAGCTGGGCTGCCGTGAGTCGCTGGCGACGGTGTAGGCTGCAGCCCCTGTGGCAGTGGGTTGCCATGGGCTACCGTGTGTAACCAGCAGCCAGCGTGAGCGGCCAGCAGCCGCAGTGAGCGGCCGTCCAGAAGCCGGCGACTGATCTGCCTCGCCCGGGAAGAGCACAATGATGGTGCCAACTTGGGCCACTGAAGCAACGTCCTCCACAACTAGACTGAAGAACAAAAGGACAGCAACTTGTCTGTTCCCCTTCCCCCAATTCCCCAGCACTGTTCCCATCCACCCAATTCCCCAATTAAAAAAAAAAAATCTTAAAAAAAAAAAAAAAAAGAAGCTACCAGAATCCTGTATCCTTCCAAGGGAATAAAGCATCTAGAAACCAAGTGTTTGGCTTTTTCACAGGAAGCTGCCAAACAGTCTTCTAGGTACTAAGGAGGGGGATGGAAGTAATTAATGCAGAAAAGTCTAGCAGGACATATTCCAAGTTGTGGACATTACTTCCAGAGGATGGAAATGGACAGGAATGATGACAAATTATTAAATTTTTCTTTACACATCTCTGAGTTATTTTGTTTGCTACAATAAGCACATATCTCTTTCGCAATAAAGACAACAATGAACATTGTTAAAGAAAAGCAACTACTTTGTTCATTTAAAAGACACTGATGAAGAGAGTGTTTGTATGTCATGCACGTGGTCTATCGTGTTAAAAAGAATTAGTAAGTTAGCTCACCAAAGACCAAAATTCCAAAGTCAAATGATTGGTTTATAGCAGAAGTTTTGTGAGGCGGAAGCATGAAGGCAGCTTCTGGAATTCTGTGACATTCCCCCAGCTAAGCCCCTATTCTACTGGGCAGCCCAGCACACTAGCTCCTGTCATTAAATGAAGTAATGTGGGTAATGACTTAGCACACTGCCTGGAAACAGCAAGCACTCTGCCTCACAATGAGGTCCCAGAGTCAAGGTCATTTACATCCTGCTAGATATGACCAGTTTCCTCCTAGGGTAAATATCACACAAATTATTGAAAAGAGATGTAAAGTCTTCTCAAAAAGCAACATGTTTCTCTCCTCTGAGAGCTCCTACCCTGACATTTGACAGAGGTTGTTACCTTTAAACCTCTCCCACAGCATAATCCTGCTATTATTAGTGGGGTGTTTCCCCTAACAGACCATGCTTCAGCTTTCTAAGCTGCTAGAATCTTCAAGGCTTTTCAGCCTTGGTACTACTGACATTTTAGACCCAGTGATTCTTTGTTGTCAGGGGCTGGGTAGGGAATAACCTGTGCATTGTAGAATGCTTAGTGGCATCTCTGGCCTCTACCCACTAGATGCCAGTAGCATCCAACAACACAGGTGTGACAGAAATGTCTCCAGACATTGCCAAGTGTCCCCTGCAGGGAAAAACTGCCCCCAATTGAGAACCACTGTTACAGATCAGTTCAGTTGTTCTTCAGCCATCCTATAAGAACTTGGGGCTAGGATACACATTAATATCCATACATCCCACCACGCCCCAAAACAAAAAAATTGAAATTTTCGAATCTTTGTTTTGAGCTCTTTTTCCCAGGAGCAACATAATGTTACCTGTGAAAGTCAAGTTTTCTGAAATATCCAACATTTTAGTGCAAACTTTCTCACTTATTGGTGGCTACCAGATGACAACAGGCAAGGAAAAATTAGGTAGGTCAAGCCAGGCCCTGTGGGGATGAGAGGGAGAGAAGAAGTGTTCAGCCAGCTGGTGTTTCTAAAGGACAATATCTCAAATTCATTCATGCAGCACAAAATGAGCGAGACAGATTGGCAGATGATAGTCACTCTGTCCCATGGCTTTAAATACCATCTGTGTATTGATGACCCCACATTTTATATTTCCGATCCTCACCTCTTTCACAGTAACTTAGCTTCTTGCATTGAACTGCCACTCGGTGTCTCTATTTGGGTATTGTACAGGCAGGCATCTCAAACTCGGCATGGCCAAAGCAGAACTGATTTTCCTTCCTAAACCTGATCTCCTCCTAGTATTTCTTATAAATGGCCATACCGCCACCATACACCGAGCTGCTCAAGCCAAAACGTAAAAGTCATCCTTGAGTCTTCTATTCCTCTTTCCATTACCTCCATATCCATGGGTCATGTCAGCTCTGCCTCCAAACCCATCCCTAATCTGCCTTCTTTTCTCTAGCTCCACTTCTGCAACTCCAATATGAGCCACTATCATTTCTTACTAGACCATGGCATTAGATTCCCAAGTAGTTCTCATTTCCTGTCTTGTCCCATCAGGGTTTCTCAGTCTCAAACTACAGACATTTTGGGCTAAGTAATTATCTGTTGTGTGTGTGTGTGTGTGTGTGTGTGTGTGTGTGTGTGTGTGTGTGGTGGGGGGAGCTGAACTATAAAATGTTTAGCAGCATGCCTGGTCTCCAACTACCAGATGCCAATAACAAACCTTCCTTCAACCCCCGCCACCAAATTGTGACAAACAAAGGTATCTCTAGACATTGCCAGGGGGCAAAACCACCCGTAGTGGAAATCCATTGTCCTACATCCTACACACAGAAACCAGGATATTTTAAAAATATACATTGCATCATGTCAGTTCCCTGTGATAAACCTTCCAATGTCTTCCCATTGACCTTAGAATAAAACCCAAGCTCCTGACCGAGGCTTACGTCTATGTAAGCCACGTAAAAGAGGCCCTTGCCTACTTCTCTAACATCCTCTCTTCCATACCATGCTCTCCCTCACTAAGCTCCAGCCACACTCATCTTCTTCCTTTCCTTGAACATTCCAAGCTTGCTCCCATCCACTCTTTGCACTTGCTGTTCCCTCTGCCTAGAACGCCCTCTTCCTAGAACTTTGCATGGCTCACTCTTGCCCCACACAAATTTCAGCTCAAATGATACTTAGTCAGCAAGGCCATCCCTGATCATCCTATCCAAAGAAACCCCTTACCTCCATTCTCTGTCACATATACCCATTTCTTTCCTTTACAGTGCTAATCAGAATAGAAAACTGGATTGCTTTTTTTTTGTCGTTTGTTGTCTGCCTCTTCACCAGAGTGTAAGCTCCTCAAGAGCAAGACTGTCTCCCTTGTTCATTGCCATTGCCCAAGTGCTAGAATACCATGTGGGATAGAGTAGATACTCAATAAATATTCCTCCTCTCTAGCGCCTCAAATCTCAGGTCAGGTTTCCCTTCTAAGATTATTCTTGATTGTTGATGTTGTCGACGTCCACTTTTCATTTTCAACTACATTTGACCTATTTTAAAAAGCATGAAGCTGGGGGTACCATGTACAGGGCTTAGTATAAAGAAAATGCTTAGTTTGAAACATAAACAAAGGCTAATGAATGAATCAAAGTCTGTTCCTTGCCCCTCAAGTTTTTTGCAGCCATATAATCATTCCACTGATCATGATTTCAGTTTGCTCTCTGTCCCTAGGTTTGAGGCGGTGAGGGTTGTTCAGGGACTCTGAATCTCAAACTCACCTGGCTGACGTTCAAACAGCCTCTTCATCCATTTATACAGTATCATGGGCCTGAAAACTTTTTATGCTGGCTTCAAATTAAAATAGTTGGCTGGGTCAAAGGTAGGATGGTCCAAGGTGCAGCATGGTCAATAAATGTTGGCTGAGTCCCGAAACCGAAACTGTAGCTTGGCTGTTTCTTACATTGATTTATGGGGCTATTTCCATGAAATCAAAGATGCTTGTTCACCTGGCAGCTGGGTGGCTGCACAATGGAGGCAATTCCGTCCTGGCTGAGGGCCATGGCTCTTTTGTGACCTCTGGGAAGCATTTCATCTGGCCATTTTTACATTCTGGCGGGCTGCCAGCTTGTCCTGCCGTGTCGGGCTCTCCATGCGATGTAGAGACGTCTCTACCCGCAGGGACGAGGCGCTGACGTGGCGGGAGGACGTTTCTGTGCGCTGCGAGGAGATTTCCACGTGCTGGGAAGACACCTCGAGGACGTGAGGGAACCGCTTCCCAGAGGGGGATAGGGAAGGCCCTTCACGGCGGCGCTGGGAGGTCTCCACCTGCCGGGAAGACGTGCGCACCTGCCGGGAGGAGGTCTCCACGCGGTGGGTCGACGTCTCCACGCGGTGGGTCGACGTCTCCTTGTAGCGAGTGGTTTCCACCTGGGGCGAAGCAGGCTTTCTCCGAAGGGGTGAGGCCATTCTACCTGTGTAACGGGGCCAAAGAGGCCTCGGGAGGCCCCACTGCCCGACTGTACCAGGCAGTCTAGCCTCTGGGTTACGTCACAGGGTAAGGGATGACGTCACAGTGCCTTGTTACGTCACCGCGGACACGAGGGTGGATGAGAGCGCACCGACACGACAACGTGAAGGCACGTGGGTTCCATGGAGGCTGGAGTCTCCCTTCCAAAAATACTGATCTGTGCTCACACGCGCTTTGGCCCCAGCACCTCGCCCTCGCCTTTTGGGAGCCTGCGCGGGCGGAGCCGGGTGTGAACCCAAGAAGGCCAGGGATGGGCGGAGCCTCCCGCCGTCGCGCCAGACTGTGCCCGCCCCCGCATCCCACACTGCCCCGCGATAGGAAGGCGGAACCGCGCTTTCCGGAACTTCCTCCGCCACTCTCAGCGGTTGCTGTGCCGGGCTGGTGGCGTTTTCGCATCATTGCTCGTGATGGCCGCGGCTGTCGCTATGGAGACAGGTCAGTAGCTCTGAGTCGCGAGTCTTCTTGCGCAGAACTACCCCGGCCTCAGACACCTCCGACGTCCCTGGACTCCTTGCAGGCCTGCCTCCCGGCGGGGTTAGAGTTCGGACCCGGAGGCTCGGGGGCTCTTGTAGCGTTTGGAAAGAAGGTAGTTTGGCCTTTTCAGAGTTTTGATTGGTTCGCAGACCTTTTTTTGGCTTGCTAGTCAAACACCGACCCTACGGGCTTCCTGGCCTGGGCAAGACTGACTGAGAGGAGTTAGTTCAATCTTAAACCGTCTCCTCGACTTGTTTTCTCCCTCTCAGATGAACTGCAGAACTTTGAAATATCGTCGACACACTTGTATATTTTTCCGCCAGTGATGCCTCTCACATATGCACACACTCCCTGATCTTGCACACAACTCTGTCTCTTTTTCAGCTTGGATTCTAAACCTTTTCCTGATCGAGTTAGCATTCACTTAGCTTTTGCTTAATCACGTAACAGTTGTAACATATTATTAAAATAGGGGAAGGCACAGCTATTACCACTTACCGCAGTTATCACCGTTAAAATCCCTACATAGTGACTCACAAGAGATAAATATCCTGTTTCTTGTGTTTCCTATTATTTTTTTTTATGACTTCTCTTTGTAGAGAAACTTCTAACTTAATCCTTTTAATCGGGGCTTTGCTTTCCTTAGCCTTCTAAGGAAGGTTTATCTCTTCCCACACCCAGGATAGGCAAAAACGATCACCTGCCCCTTATGTAGAAATGTATCTCAGCATTGGTCAGGTTTCCTTACGGTTTTCTTCCTACAAATCAATATTATTATACAATGACCTTTATTTGGGATGATTTTTGCTATCTTTTCTCCTAGATGATGCTGGAAATCGACTTCGGTTTCAGTTGGAATTGGAATTTGTGCAGTGTTTAGCCAACCCAAATTACCTTAATTGTAAGTTGTTGAGCATCTCATGAGTAGCTATTAATGATTTCTGACAGAACAGTTGCAGTTCATAATGGTGTCCAATTTTATACATTCACAATTGAACGGAATTACTGCTACACTTATACTGGTGTGTGTGTGTGTGTGTGTGTGTGTGTGTGTGTGTGTGTGTGTGTGTGTGTATGTGTATGAGCAAAATCGGACTTGTTTTTCGAATTCAGTGTGTGTTGATGGTGGGGCTGTTATGTAAGTGAATTCTTTATGTTAGGAGTACAAATCAGTAGTTCAAGGATTGGTTTGCTCTACAGATGTATTTTTTTTTTTTATGCCTTTCAGTTCTTGCCCAAAGAGGTTACTTCAAAGACAAAGCTTTTGTTAATTATCTTAAGTACTTGCTTTACTGGAAAGAACCAGAATATGCCAAGTATCTAAAGTAAGTTTATTTTTTATAGTCCTAAATATGTATATACCTTATTATACTCCAAAACACTGCTATTTAACAGACTTATTAGTTTCACACTGGTAAAAATATATTTTGAATCTTTCCACTTCTTTTAGTTGCCACCACCTTATAAGACACACTCATCTCTAACTTGAATTACTGCAGTAATCTATTCTCTGGTTAGCTCTGCTTCCATTCTTACCTTCCCCCCTCTGCACCCCCCTCAGCCAAACAAAGGAAAATAATTTTCTACACAGAAGCCATATTGATTCTTAAAAATGTGAATCACATGTTACTTTCTTGCTTAGACTCTTTCACTGATTTCCCATTGCATGCAGAATAAAATCCAGTCTCCTGAGCTAAAGTTCTATATGATCTGGCTCTATCTTTATCTGACCTTATCTTGTACCATTCACCCCATCTCACTGGTTTTCTGACCCCAAGGAACCCACATTCTATAAATGCAAGGAGATAGCCATGGGCTGAAAATTAAAGAATGTAGGAAGAGGTAGTGGTAAAGAAGGTTTTCTGGAGGAGGTAGCCTTACCTGTGTCTTAATAGCTACAGTTTTTTTTTTTAGGGCCTCCTAAGTGCCAAGTACTGTACTCATTTAAAACACACACACACACACATACCAGGTTGTGCAACAGATGCACGACTAAATTGCAAGAAGCATGTTATAATCACAAAGCTATTTTTGGTGGGAAAAAAATAATCTTTGAATTCACACCTCAGCTTTGTTTTAACTCGGTAGTCAGAAAGCAGTAGTGAAACTTTTTGTCTTTTTCTTTTCTAAACAAACACAAGTTTGAGAGGAAAATGTTTCATACTTGTAGTTTATCCAAGTCACTTTTCTGATCTGTGTCTAATAGCTGATTCACAAAGCCCACATCCTTCTGCTGCCTGCGGGACCCTTTGTACCCTTACTGGCCCTTTATAAACAACCACTTATTTAAAAACCTAGAGAAAATACTTTTTTATTATTGGGTTGTCGGAAAAGTCATGTCGCATTTTTGCAACGAAAAACAAATACATCATGACTTTTCCAACAACCTAGTAGATTGCAACATGTATGTATGTAGACTTAGAGACTCAGTGTTGGACACTGAGTCTTGAGTCTTAGACACCATCAAGTTCACACACAACACTGCTGAGATGATCGTCTACACTGTGGTTAGAGGTTTCCAGTGAGCACATATTGCTCTGTTCAGGGACAGCCAATTCCATTGTTAGTTAAATGCTACAAAGTTCTTCCTTGTATTGTGATATAACTCCGTGTAGCTTCCACCCAGTGTCCCCAGCTTTGTCCCTGAATTTAGAATCAGTCAATTGCTCTATGGAGACAATGGCCCTTCAGATATTTAAATTCAAGAGAGTTTGCATATTAACCCCTGTGGGCGTATCATTCAGTCTGCACAAGGTTTTTGTTATTTTACTAGTTGCCAACATTTAAAGATTGCAGAGTTTCATATAATCATCCCAATTTCTAGCTACTCTTTGAAATCTGGACGATCTGGTAACTCCAGGTCTTCTTTCTCGCAAATCAATGACTGGCTAGTGCTGAGAGGAGCAACTGCTTCTTCTAGACATTTTCCACCATTTGGCCTGCTTCACTAACAGCCAGTATCTGCACTATACTGTCTCTTTTACATTTATTTTTCTCAACTACCTCCAGTCCTTTCTCATCTGCCCTCCTTTGGATATTTTGCAGTCATGCCTTATGTTATTCAGCCGAGAACTAAACACAGGCTTTCAGATGGAAGGGTACCATATAGCACTTTTTTCTTTATACAGATATTACACTTCTGTTAGTTCACCTTAAGTTTACATTACCTTTTTTGGGGGGTGGGTGGGAGGCAAGGATTCACATTGTTGACTTGCTGAGAGCTTTATGTGAACTAAAATTCTTCAGTTCTTATTTTCATTAATACTATTAATTGAGTTTGCCATTTATATTTGCTCACTTTTTAAAAATCTAAATGTAGAACTTTCCTTTTGTACCTCATATTGTTGATTAATTCTGTAATTGTAGCCTATCAAGATATTTATAATTTCTTATTGTCACTTAATGTATTCTGAGCATTGTCTTCAGTAAGTTTGATAAATGATCACTGTGTATCTAAATTCCCGTTATTGACTAAATGCTACTTAAGACCATTCTCTTGGTTGTCACATTAATTTATTTTACAAATGAAGCAATTAACCTTAGGGAGGTTAAGTACCTTGTTCAAGGCCACCCAGCTGGTGAGTGGAAGAGCTGGTCTTCAGCCCCTTTTTATTTACCTAAGCCCTCACAGAGGGAACTAGCCAGGGTAGGTGTGAGCAGGGCATGCCAGGCTTAGCCGCTAACAACTGCAAGTAACCATGAACCTTTGGAGTGTCCCTGATATTCAGTGAGGGCCTCAGCCCAGCAGCGTTGGTATCACTTGGAAGCTTGTTAGAAATGCAGAGCTCAGGCCCCACCCCAGACCTGCTAAATCCGAATCTGCATTTTAGGAAGGGAGTCATGTGCATATGAGAATTTGAGAAGCACTGCTGTAGTCATTGTTTTCCAAACTTTCCTCACTTGCACAATTTTGGTTTGTGTACTTCCTGTGTGCTTTCATGGTTTTTAATTGACTCATTTAAATTTTGTCTTGCCTGTACAAAATAATTTCACTTACAAAACAGCTTGGAAAAATAGTAAACAGAATTCCTGTATATTCTTCACTCAGATATTGTAAATGTTAACATCTTATATAACCATAGTACAATGGTCAAAATCAGAACATTAACATTATTATCTAATCTCATTATCAGACCTCATTCAGATTTTGCAAGCTGTCTTACTAATGTTTTACTATGTTTGATAGTATCAAGTTTAGGCTCTCATGCTGCATTTTGTCATGTCTTCTTAGTCTCCTTTACTCTTGAGTTCATCAGTCTTTTTTTTTTTTTTTTTTTTTTTTTTTTTTTTTTTTTTTTTTTTTTCTATGACCATGACACAGAAGTGATCTTGAATCCTTCTAGGGTATATCAGGAGTCTCATAGGAAGTCAATTTACCCACCACTGATGATGTTAGTTTTGATCATTCGGGTGAGGTGGTGGCTACATTTTCTCCTATCAAGTTACTATTTTTTTCTTTTATATTTAATAAGTATCTTATGAGGAGATACTTGAAACTGTAAATATCTTGTTTTATCATTTTTACCCACTAATTTTAGCGTCTATTGAAGATACTTGCCTCAAAGAATTTTTACTATGGTAACTTTCTAATTACATCATTCTTTCTATATTTATTAGTTGTAATTCAGTTGTAAGAAACTCTTGTTCCTGATTTATGTATTCCTTTAAAAACTTAATATCAGTATGGACTCTTGGATTCTTATTTTTATTTTGTGGATTATAATTATGTATTTTCTTGCTGTAGTGATTCCAGGTAATGGCCATTGGGG